CTTTTGAACACAGACATTGTGCTTATGACTCAAAGTCTGTGTCTCAAATGGCACTTTATACCCTACCTAGTGCACTGCTTTTGCACTAACACAGGGAATAGGGTGCAATTTGGGATGCTATCTGAAACAGTACTTCACCAGGGAGTGAACAGACTTGAAAGCTATACCTCCATTCTGACTGTAGTGCTGTTGAAAAGGTTGCTTACCTGATCAGCATACTGTCCACTATAATGATCCTGTTCTGAGGAAGGAGCATCAATACAAAGAGTGTACTAATGGTGATCACTGTGCTTTCTATTGGAGTAAAATTGCAGTCTAATTAGGCACAACAAATCTCTAATGTATCCTAAGTGTTGTCTCTAAATGAGAACAGTGCACTGAACATCTCAGAGGTGATCTACTGCTGTATGGCTCAAAGCACTGTAGTCATGGCATAGCCTAAGCCAGTGTTTCCCAACTCCGGTCCTCGAGAACCTCTAACAGCACACATTTTTGTTGAAGCCCTGGACAAAAGCACCTGATTCAACTTGTCAAGGGCTTGATGATTAGTTGACAAATATAATCAGGTGTGCTTGTCCGCAGCCACAACTAAAATATGTACTGTTGGAGGTACTGGAGGACCGGAGTTGGGAAACACTGCCCTTAGCTACAACACTGCCTGCCTACTGCTCATGATCGGCTTGCAGTAACAGGTGCTATTTAGACAGATCAAGGGTGCCAACACAGATCTGGATGTGACTTATTTCATTGTTTTCCTTTAATTTGCCTGTCAGTGTGTTTCAGGCCGTGTACGACTGCCACATCAATACCACTGTTGGTTGGTCCTCAAGCTGTCTGACAGCTACCTAGCTCCCCTCTTTCTCAGTTCTCAAGCTGTCTGACAACTACCTAGCTCCCCTCTTTCTCAGTTCTCAAGCTGTCTGACAACTACCTAGCTCCCCTCTTTCTCAGTTCACAAGCTGTCTGACAGACACATAGCTCCCCCCTCCTCTTCCTAAAGCTGTCTGACAGACACCTAGCTCCCCTCTTTCTCAGTCCTCAAGCTGTCTGACAAACACCTAGCTCCCCTCTTTCTCAGTCCTCAAGCTGTCTCACAGACACCTAGCTCCCCTCTTTCTCAGTCCTCAAGCTGTCTGACAGACACCTAGCTCCCCTCTTTCTCAGTCCTCAAGCTGTCTGACAGATACCTAGCTCCCCTCTTTCTCAGTCCTCAAGCTGTCTGACAGACACCTAGCTCCCCTCTTTCTCAGTCCTCAAGCTGTCTGACAGCTACCTAGCTCCCCTCTTTCTCAGTCCTCAAGCTGTCTGACAGACACCTAGCTCCCCTCTCCTCTTCCTCAAGCTGTCTATATGTGTGTGTGTTTGTGATCACCCCATTCTGCCAGTGTGTCACTTCATGTCCTCAGAATCCACCAGAGGGCTGTCTCCCCCCCTCCTCTTTCTCTCCAACACTTGTCCCCCTCCTCTCTTGTTCCCCAAAACCGTGGTTTATTTCCACATCCATAATGGAGGATGTCTGGCTTTTCAGAATTTTGTCTCAGCAACTGTAGTACAGTCTGACGTTTATTCTCAACCTCTCAGCACTTGCGGAGCACCTTGTGATTTGTTTCATCTCCTCTCCCCCTCTCCTTTCATCGCTCTGCCCAAGCTGTGATGGAGCGTTGATATTTCCACAACTTCTCTAGCTTCAGATTTATTCTTTAAACAGTGCTATGTTCCAGTTCTATGTTCCAGCTCTATGTATCGTGCTGCGTTCATGTTTATTATCAACACAAGCTGAGGCGTCAGAATGTCAGGTGACTACACGGACCAAGCCGGATATTATATGCTTGCTTTGTTGCTTGACATAAACACTGTATATTTTAGTGTTATTTTTGGGGTTAAACATCATGACATATCCCACCAAGATATCCCACCTTAACTCTCCTATTTCTCTATATGGGATCAGAGAATAGCAAAATAAAAGTCAAGGTACAGTATCTTGACATGGAATTGCCATAGTAAAACCACAATAAATAATGACATGATTAATTGAAAGATACTGTAAATATCCACCTGAAAAGTCTTGAGAGTAAATAGATGAAGTCAATAAGGAGTGTATTGAGCTATTGACTAGCTTCTCCACACTTGATTGACATACTGTACACAGCCACAGTAACACTAGAACGCTTTACATGGATAGATACAAGCCCTTCATTCCACTGTCATTGGGTTTGACATGCCTATTCACCGTCTGTATACAGACCATCAACCCGCCCAGCCGTCTAGTATTGGCTCACTAAAGAGAATAAGAGAGAGAGAGAGAGAGAGAGAGAGAGGCAGAGACAGAGACTGAGAAAGAAAGGTGAGAGAGAAACTTTGTCAAATGAATGAGGAATCAATTCTAGCTGTCATGGGCAGAGCCCACTGCTACACTGTATTACTGACAGTAGAACTACGCAACCCAGCAGGGATTCCTGGGGCTTTTCATTCAGCCTCCTATGAATCAAACTATGACAGGGCTGTCACTCAAACAAGGTCGTAATGACTCCATTGGAAAGGGAATTAGTGCAACAGTTATGATATTTGTTCAGTGGTTTAAGGCTATTTATGGGTCTTGGTCTGTGTTGAGGGCTTGTATGACACATTGTATGGATCGTGCTGTATTTGTCATGGGAGCCAATCCCTGCAAAGACTACTGTAACCAGAGGGAGATGCTAGATAGTGTCTACAGGCGTATACAGTAGAGAATATCATAAACATCTAACACATCTAAACAAAGTGAATATGGAATTAAGAAAAGGACGACACTTTACAAAAGCAATTAGCCTTTTTTAATCTTACATTGCATTGGAAATGTACATAATATTCATACATGTTACAAATAATTTGTTCATAAAAATATATTTCTTTAAAAAAAAACTTTTTCCTAAATCGATTTTTATTTTATATTTTTTTTATTTTTATATATTTTCAATGCATTTAACATAGGAGTACCCAGCTGTACTGTACTGCAAATAGTATTTCGGCTTCCTAGAATTGTATGGGTTCTTTATTGCAGTCATTTTTATAGGAAAAGCTAAGTGGCAAAATAGATTGAAAGGTTTAAAAAACATGGCACCTGATGAGTGGAAAGGAAGAATGTGTCAGTGTTTAGTGTTTGTTCAGCAACACATGAAGTCCTGTGAGGTGAAGGAGAGAGGGAATGAGATCATAAGATTACAAAGAGAAAGACAGGAACAGGGGGATGAGGAGAGGAGGAAGGAGCAGCAGACCTGGTTCACATGGTTTTTGGTAGGCACTGTAAAAACCACCCACTAGGATACATAGAGTAATACAACAACAACAACAATTCAAAACCGTAAAAAAAAAGTGCAATATAATGAAAAGTCACAATGAAAATGTTGCGCGGACGAGTAAAAATGCCAAATAAAAACGAAAGAAACACAAATTCTGGAAAGATTGATCTCATTGGTTTGCGGTTGGCATGGCGATTGATGTCACTGTCAGTATAGAGTATCATCAAGTCTGCAGATAGACTGATCTGGTCTGTCATTGGTGAAAATGATGCCAGAAGTGTCACTGGTGGAGCCCATTGATCCCTTTCTGTATCAATGTGTGATGAGGTCGGGGTACTACGTTATCATAGGGGGTACTACTTTATCATAAAGGCACTGTAATGAATCACAGCTTGGAGACCTGGAGGCCTGCAGTCACGGACACCAACTAGGACTGACTCAGGTCCAGTGGGTGGCACTGGGCATTTATATGATACAGGGGGCAATTCATCTCATCTAGTGTTGAAAAATGCATCTGTTGTGCAAATTACATCATCAGACATTTTTGACCAGAAAAAAAAAATAAAAAAAAAATAAAAACTACAGACAGATGAAAGGATGAATACAGTAAGAAATATGATTGTTGAACCTACTGGGTTGATGTTTGATTCTGCTCTGCTCTTCTGTTGATGTTGGATGGATTTTGTTCCATGATGTTGCCCCCCACAACTTCAAAATGGCCGCAAGGAGTACCGATATTGTCTTTAGATAAAGTGTAATAATTCCACATTTAGTACAAATTAAATGACACTCATTTAAAATAAGTTTTGCTTTGCAGACTTTAAGATCTCAATACTGACATTCCTTATTTAGGTCAGAATGAAGATGACTGTAAAGGCTAATAACGGTACCAAAGTATGATCCAAAATGGCAAATAAGAGTTAAATATTCCAGAAAACCTTTCTACTCACATCACACAGTTAACATCAATACTTCAAACACTTCTGATTGCCACAGTGGAAAAAAACACAGAATATGGGACTGAAGCTCGAGGACAGGGAGTTACGGTCAAAACCGTTGTTTTAAAAAACGGTTTAACCTTTTAAAAATGAACCCAAAAATACCTTTGTGTGTTTGACGATGTGAACAGCATATTTTGAAATATCTTTTTTTCCCCTCTTTTTTATAAACTCTTCAGCTCTCTCCCTTTGGCCCCTCCCACGTGGTAATATATAATACAAAAATATAGGTGGTGAATGCTCCTCCTATATATGCAAGAAGAAGATTTACAGATCCTTTTCACTTTATATAAAAGACCCAATCGACTGTGAAGAAGCACTCGCAGAGTGCAATATAATAAGGTAGCGTAAGAACTCTCCACGCCACTCGCCGACCACCGTGAAGATTTGGGTTTTTATGTTTCTCAGTTCTCAGTTCAGTCTTCTAAAATGTGATGTTGGCCCAGTGAGTGTCTTTCTCGACACACATGACCCAGTCAAGGTTCCTGAATAGTGTGCTTTAAGTACCAGAGGATTGGTTCCTTGTTCCTCAGTTCGTCTCGCCAAAAATGTCCGACACGCCTCTACTAGAGTGTCTCCATCGCTATCTCCAGTCTCAATCTAAACAAAATCAGCTCGTCTCACAAAAGCATTTTTATTTTTATTTTTATTTTTTACCTTGATATAAAATAAGAAAAAAAACGATGCAGTGTTTGCGGTTGCAGTCGCCAAGCGGACTTCATTATACCATTGTGCAGACTGTGTTCAGGTTGGGGTCGAACCGGACAGCTTTGCCTTCCACCGACTTGGCGCTGGTGTTGTACATGGGGTTCTCGAAGGCCGCCTGTCCGTTGTTGTTCTCGTGGACGGAGCAGCCTGTGTACTGGGTTTTAGGAGTAGACCTAGATAGGGGCAAAGACATGGTTCAGACTCAATGGAGAACAAGAGTCAGTATAAGTCAACATGTAGCCTATCTAAGATGTACTGGGTTTTAAGAGAAGACCTGTGGAGGACACAGCAATGGTTCATGGTTTTATACGTGAATAACAGCAACCCGTATGTCAAACAAACGCTATAGATCACGTGTAAAACTCATTCCACGGAGAGCCGAGTGTCTGCGGGTTTTCGCTCCTCCCTTGTACTTGATTGATGAATTAAGGTCACTAATGAGTAAGGAACTCCCCTCACCTGGTTATCTAGGTCTTAATTGAAAGGAAAAACCAAAAACCCGCAAACACTAGGCCCTCCGTGGAGTTTGACACCCCTGCTATAGATCCTGACACAGTAGCACAGTACAGATGTAGGATCTTAATTTGAGCCAGTTTACTACAGTAGGAAAATAATCCTGCGGTAACAAGAAATGCGAATTATTATGTGGATTATAATTAATCAAATAACATTTTATTGGCCACATGCGCCGAATACAACAGGTGCAGACATTACAGTGAAATGCTTACTTACAGCCCTTAACCAACAGTGCATTTATTTTAAATAAAAAAGTAAAATAAAACAACAACAAAAAAAGTGTTGAGAAAAAAAGAGCAGAAGTAAAATAAAATAACAGTAGGGAGGCTATATATACAGGGGGGTACCGGTGCAGAGTCAATGTGCGGGGGCACCGGCTAGTTGAGGTAGTTGAAGTAATATGTACATGTGGGTAGAGTTAAAGTGACTATGCATAAATAATTAACAGAGTAGCAGCAGCGTAAAAAGATGGGGTGGGGGTGGGGGGGCAGTGCAAATAGTCTGGGTAGCCATGATTAGCTGTTCAGGAGTCTTATGGCTTGGGGGTAGAAGCTGTTGAGAAGTCTTTTGGACCTAGACTTGGCACTTCGGTACCGCTTGCCGTGCGGTAGCAGAGAGAACAGTCTATGACTAGGGTGGCTGGAGTCTTTGACAATTTTGAGGGCCTTCCTCTGACACCGCCTGGTATAGAGGTCCTGGATGGCAGGAAGCTTGGCCCCAGTGATGTACTGGGCCGTACGCACTACCCTCTGTAGTGCCTTGTGGTCGGAGGCCGAACAGTTGCCATACCAGGCCGTGATGCAACCAGTCAGGATGCTCTCGATGGTGCAGCTGTAGAATTTTTTGAGGATCTGAGGACCCATGCCAAATCTTTTCAGTCTCCTGAGGGGGAATAGGCTTTGTCGTGCCCTCTTCACGACTGTCTTGGTGTGTTTGGACCATGATATTTAGTTGGTGATGTGGACACCAAGGAACTTGAAGCTCTCAACCTGTTCCACTACAGCCCCGTCGATGAGAATGGGGGCGTGCTCAGTCCTCTTTTTTTTCCTGTAGTCCATAATCATCTCCTTTGTCTTGGTCACGTTGAGGGAGAGGTTGTTATCCTGGCACCACACGGCCAGGTCTCTGACCTCCTCCCTATAGGCTGTCTCATCATTGTCGGTGATCAGGCCTACCACTGTTGTGTCGTCGGCAAACTTAATGATGGTGTTGGAGTCGTGCCTGGCCAGGCAGTCATGGGTGAACAGGGAGTACAGGAGGGGACTGAGCACGCACCACTGAGGGGCCCCCGTGTTGAGTATGAGTGTGGAAGATGTGTTGTTACCTACCCTTACCACCTGGGGGCGGCCCATCAGGACGTCCAGGATCCAGTTGCAGAGGGAGGTGTTTAGTCCCAGGATCCTTAGCTTAGTGATGAGCTTTGAGGGCACTATGGTGTTGAATGCTGAGCTGTAGTCAATGAATAGCATTCTCACGTAGGTGTTCCTCTTGTCCAGGTGGGAAAGGGCAGTGTGGAGTGCAATAGATATTGCATCATCTGTGGATCTGTTGGGGCGGTATGCAAATTGGAGTGGGTCTAGGGTTTCTGGGAAAATGGTGTTGATGTGAGTCATGACCAGCCTTTCAAAGCACTTCATGGCTACAGACGTCAGTGCTACGGGTCGGTAGTCATTTAGGCAGGTTATCTTAGTGTCCTTGGGCACAGGGACTATGGTGGTCTGCTTGAAACATGTTGGTATTACAGACTCAGTCAGGGACATGTTGAAAATGTCAGTGAAGACACTTGCCAGTTGGTCAGCACATGCTCGGAGTACACGTCCTGGTAATCCGTCTGGCCCTGCGGCCTTGTGAATGTTGACCTGCTTAAAAGTCGGCTACGGAGAGCGTGATCACATATTCATCCGGAACAGCGGTGCTCTCATGCATGCTTCAGTGTTGCTTGCCTCGAAGCGAGCATAGAAGTGGTTTAGCTCGTCTGGAAGTCTTGTGTCACTGGGCAGCTCACGGCTGTGCTTCCCTTTGTAGTCTGTAATAGTTTTCATGCCCTGCCACATCCTACGAGCGTCAGAGACGGTGTAGTATGATTCAATCTTAGTCCTGTATTGACTCTTTGCCTGTTTGATGGTTCGTCAGAGGGCATAGTGGGATTTCTTATAAACGTCCGGGTTAGAGTCCCGCTCCTTGAAAGCGGCAGCTCTACCCTTTAGCTCAGTGCGGATGTTTCCTGTAATCCATGGCTTCTGGTTGGGGTATGTTAATGGACATTTTTGTAGGGGTTGAGACATTTTTCATAGTAAAAAATTGTCACACCCTGGCTCTGGGACTCATTATGTTGAGCCAGGGTGTGTTTATTTCTATGTGTTGTATTCTATGTTTGCCTGAGTGACTCCCAATCAGAGGCAACGAGTGTCAGCTGTTGGCTGGTTGTCTCTGATTGGGGAGCCATATTTAAACTGTATGTTTTCCCTTTGTGGTTGTGGGTTTTTGTTCCGTGTTCGGTCATTGATACCGTGGACGTCACGAGTCGTTTCTTGTTTTGTTTCGTGCTTTAACTAATTAAAGTCATGTTTGTTCATCACGCTGCGCCTTGGTCTCTCCCTGACGATCGTGACAGAAAAACCCACCATGCAACGACCAAGCAGCGTGTCCAGGGGCAGCTCTTGGGCTGGACATGGGAGGAAGCGCCGGGAGAAGAGACGGTGGAGGCGCGCCGTAGAGAGGAGCTACGGCGTGATCAGGGTCGTCGTCGGACAGTCGTGAGGCAACCCCAGAAAATTTTTAGGGGGGGGCACACGGCATGGACGACGGGGCTGACGGAGGAGAAAAGGGGGCGGATCCAGAAGGCCACCAGGCCAGGGGTACACCGCCCTGTACGTCCTGTGCGGATGCCTCACACAGAGTGTGTGAGGGTAGGCATTCAGCCAGGACGGGTGTTGGCCGCTCTTCACTCCAGGCCTCCTATCCGTCTCCACAGCCCGGTTCGGCCTGTCCCTGCTCCACGCACCAAGCCTACGGTGTGCGTCGCCAGCCCAGTCCGGCCTGTCCCTGCTCCACGCACCAAGCCTACGGTGTGCGTCGACAGCCCAGCCCGGCCTGTCCCTGCTCCACGCACCAAGCCTACGGTGTGCGTCGACAGCCCAGCCCAGCCTGTCCCTGCTCCACGCACCAAGCCTACGGTGCGCGTCGCCAGCCCGACCCGGCCTGTTCCTGCCACTCGCACCAAACCTACGGTGCGCGTCGCCAGCCCGGTCCGGCCTGTTCCTGCCACCCGCACCAAGTCTACGGTGCGCGTCGCCAGCCCGACCCGGCCTGTTCCTGCCACTCGCACCAAACCTACGGTGCGCGTCGCCAGCCCGGTCCGGCCTGTTCCTGCCACTCGCACTAAGCCAGGGGTGCGAGAAGTCAGCCTGGTAAGGCCCGTCCCTCTTCCACGCACCAAGCCAGGGGTGCGAGTCGTCAGCCTGGTAAGGCCCGTTCCTCCTCCACGCACAAAGCCAGGGGTGCGCGTCGTCAGCCTGGTAAGGCCCGTCCCTCCTCCACGCACCAAGCCAGGGGTGCGAGTCGTCAGCCTGGTAAGGCTCGTTCCTCCTCCACGCACCAAGCCAGGGGTGCGAGTCGACAGCCTGGTAAGGATCGCTCCTGTTAAGTCCAGTCCTGCTCCAGCCGGCGGGGCCAGACTGGACCAGGGGCACTATGGGGGGTGTATTGGAGGGTGGTGGTCAAGGCCGGAGCCAGAACCACCGCCGAGGAGGTATGCCCGCCCAGCCCTCCCCTGGTTTGTTTAGTTGAGGCGCGGTCGCAGTCCGCGCCTTTAGGGGGGGGGTACTGTCACACCCTGGCTCTGGGACTCATTATGTTGAGCCAGGGTGTGTTCATTTCTATGTGTTGTATTCTATGTTTGCCTGAGTGACTCCCAATCAGAGGCAACGAGTGTCAGCTGTTGGCTGGTTGTCTCTGATTGGGGAGCCATATTTAAACTGTATGTTTTCCCTTTGTGGTTGTGGGTTTTTGTTCCGTGTTCGGTCATTGATACCGTGGACGTCACGAGTCGTTTCTTGTTTTGTTTCGTGCTTTAACTAATTAAAGTCATGTTTGTTCATCACGCTGCGCCTTGGTCTACTCCTTACCTCGACCGTGACAAAAATGTGTAATTTTTCAAGTAAAAAATGTCTAAGTGGAAATTAAAAACTTCAGAAGCCTTTTTAAACATCAAATACACTACACGTTTAAAATGTCCTGTATTGCAGGAAAGTTATCCTGCAACAGGGTGATCAACTTAAGATCCTACATCTGTATGTGGCCTTTACTGTGAATTCAGCCCACAGTATAAAATTAGCTGGTGGTAGATAGGTACACTTACCTCTGTTTGTAAAGATAAAATCCGAAGCCTGCAAATATCAGGGCGAAAAAAGGCACAAGGATTGCTATGGCCACAGAGCTACTGTTTGTACCGTGAGGTGGATTGGACGAGTTATTACTTTCTGACATGTTCAAACCTGTGTGGGAGAGGAGACATAGGAACAACATGAATATTCTCACACTCACCTTTTGGCCTATATCAAATATCTATTACATACATGTTTCATTTCTATATACTGAAATGACACAATATTATTGACATTGAGAAAGCTGATATAAAAACAATGTGGAGATGTTTACCTAGCCTCTGAAGTCCAAACTGGCCGTAGTCTCTACCCTGTATGAAGCCTTGAAAGACGTAAGTGGCACCGTCAGGTTCTGCAGACACCTAGGAGAATACAGGGAGACAGATATGGTCAGTCAGTCAGTTAGTTAGTCATTCAGTGTGTCGGTCGGTCAGTCAGTCAGTCAGTGAGTCAGTCAGTCAGTCATTTCTTTGAATGGTACTTTTCACTATGAGGTTACGTTTTAAAGGACAAATCTAACTTTTCAGAATTGTATTTTTACAAAATACAAAACAAGGACTGCATTTGAGGCCATTTTGTAATAAACATGAAGTAACAATGTATAACAAATGTCCATTGATATGTCTAACAAATGTCCATTGATATGTCTAACAAATGTCCATTGATATGTCTAACAAATGTCAATTTCAACATTATTACACCACGTCAGATGGTTATTAAGATACAGTGCATTCGGAAAGTATTCAGACCCCTTGACTTTTTCCACATTTTGTGACGTTACAGCCTTATTCTAAAATTGATTAAATAGTTCTCCCCCCTCATCAATCTACACAAAACAGGTTTTTAGATTTTTTTGCAAATGTATATAAAAAACCCAGGAAATATCACATTTACATAAGTATTCAGACCCTTTACTCAGTACTTTGTTGAAGCAACTTTGGCAGCGATTACAGCCTTGCGTCTTCTTGGGTATGACACTACAAGCTTGGCACACCTGTATTTGGGGAGTTTCTCCCATTCTTCTCTGCAGATCCTCTCAAGCTCTGTCAGGTTGGATGGGGAGCGTCGCTGCACAGCTATTTTCAGGTCTCTCCAGAGATGCTCAATCTGGTTCAAGTCTGGGCTCTGGTTGGGCCACTCAAGGACATTCAGAGACTTGTCCCAAAGCCACTCCTGCGTTGTCTTTGTTGTGTGCTTAGGGTCGATGTCCTGTTGGAAGGTGAACCTTCACCCTAGTCTGAGATCCTGAGCGCTCTGGAGCAGGTTTTCATCAAGGTTATCCTTTGCTCCGTTCATCTTTCCCTCGATCCTGACTAGTCTCCCAGTCCCTGCCGCTGAAAAACATCCCCACAGCATGATGCTGCCACCACCATGCTTCACCTTAGGGATGGTTCCATGTTTCCTCCAGACGTGACGCTTGGCATTCAGGCTAAAGAGTTCAATCTTAGTTTCATCAGACCAAAGAATCTTGTTTCTCATGGTCTGAGAGTCCTTTAGGTGCCTTTTGGCAAACTCCAAGCGGGCTGTCATGTGCCTTTTACTGAGGAGTGGCTTCCGTCTGGACAATCTACCATAAAGGCCTGATTGGTGGAGTGCTGCAGAGATGGTTGTCCTTCTGGAAGGTTCTCCCATCTCCACAGAGGAGCTCTGGAGCTCTGTCAGAGTGACCATCGGGTCACCTTCCTGAACAAGGCCCTTCTCCCCCAATTGCTCAGTTTGGCCAGGCTGCCAGCTCTAGGAAGAGTCTTGGTGGTTCCAAACTTCTTCCATTTAAGAATGATGGAGGCCACTGTGCTCTTGGTGACCTTCAATGCTGCAGACGTTTTAGTACCCTTCCTCAGATCTGTGCCTCGACACAATCCTGTCTCGGAGCTCTACGGACAATTCCATTGCTTGGTTTTTGCTCTGACATGCACTGTCAACTGTGGGACCTTATATAGACAGGTGTGTGCCTTTCCAAATCATGTCCAATCAACTGAATTTACCACAGGTGGACTCCAAGTTGTAGAAACATCTCAAGGATGATCAATGGAAACAGGATGCACCTGAGCTCAATTTTGAGTCTCATACAAAGGGTCTGAATATTTATGTAAATAAGGCTGTAACGTAACAAAATGTGGAAAAAGGGAAGGGGTCTGAGTACTTTCCAAATGCACTGTATGTAAGTCGCTAGCGTCTGCTAAATGACTAACATGTAGATGTAAATGTGTCAATTCCACAAATCCTTCCTGTTAGTAAGAAACGGTAAACTTACAAAACCGTCCATGGACCATGTCTCCTCCTTGCCCAGCGTGGTGTGAGTGGACGTTTTCACATGGTACATGAGCAGCATCAACCGTGCTTCTTGGCTCTTATAGACACCTGCAGCACAACAGAATAGAGGGGGACAAGAGGGTCGATGTGAGACCAGGGCACAACACTGATATAACTGGTGGTACTCAGGGGAGACGATCACAGACAATGACCCCATGATGATTGTTTCCCTCTCCTATCTCATTGTCTGTTTTTCTGTCTGTCTGTCTGTCTGGAAAATGAAAGCAGGTGATATGAATACTCAGTGAGCCATATTCTTTAACCATGAAGCAATTTACAGCAGTGGAACACTCATCAACTGTACTTCCTATTTCTAACTGCCTCCTGCAATTGAAGGCAAAGAAAGGGAGCACCATATTAAGGCCTCTCAGAGGTCCTGGCCCTTCGCCACCGCTGCAGCTGCAGGTGAACTGACTGATGTACACAGTGGCAGTAATAAGACACATTCAATTAACACACCCAATCCATTGCCTGGCCTCTCTAAATGTATAATAAGCTGTTATTAAAAACACAAAATGGCTGCCTCCCTCGCCTCAGCGTTACGATTACATTGTGATCCCTATATCTCCCAGACAAGGCCATTTCTTCTCAATGAGTATGTGAATGAATAGTTCTTCATTCACCTGTCTAAGTCATAATTGGCGACGGCTGGGTAATTCCCAGTCCAATTTAAATGGAGAATATTAATTAGATGATGTAAATGACATGTCAGCTGGGGCTAAAGGCATTCGTGGAGAAACGAGGGGGGAAAGAGCGAGGGGGGAAAGAGCAAGGGGGGAAAGAGCAAGGGGGGAATGAGCGAGGGGGGAAAGGGAAAAGGGGCCTCGACACTCCGGATAATTATGGTAAATCTGTCAAATATTTGTCAGATCTGATTAATATTTCATTTAAGAGAAATGGGGGGGGGGAGATTTTACACGTCCATTAGGCTATATTAATGAAGTACATTAAGGGACTGAATATTTTTTATATTTAGGGACGCCTATGTGAAAACACCCCCAAAAAACGAATATGTAAAATAAATGAGTCATCGGGATCATCAGCCAGGTCGTTCAAGATTGACATCGAAATTGGATTGGATGTCCTGAGAACGTCGGGAAATGCCTTCAAAACCGGCGACTCGGGGCAACAGTGAGCGCTATTACCACCAAGTAGCCTTGGGTTTTGCTAGGGCGTTGTGGACGGGGGTAATCCCATGACTCTGGATCGATCCCAGTCGTGGAGACTGGTTTTACATTTTTTGTTTTAACCCTATCCCAAACCTTAACCCTTACTTTATCCATTCGGGCTGAGTGCCTAAACTTAACCCTTAACTTCTAAATGTGACGTTTGGAGAAATGGAACGATAGAGGGGGGGCTAGAGGGGGGCTAGAGACCTTCCCAAGCATCTCCTCTCTGTGTAATATGGTGTGAAATGCGGACAGCGTACCTGAAAGCAGCAGTTCCATGTTGCTATTGGTCAAGGTGACGTTAACCCTTCCCGTGGTGGCGTTAAAGCTTGTGATACTCAGAGTCATTGGTTGTTTTCTTCCCTTGTAGTTGTATGAACCCTTCCAGACATAGTTAGGAGCAAAGACGTCATCAGGAACTGAAACAGGGCATAGAAAATATTGATTATTAGAAGACCTTGGTTGTGCCTAAGGTTGGTCGAGCGGTTAAACCCACTGCCCTCTGCACAACCTGCCTGCATGGGATCGAATCCTGGCCCCAACGGTCTTCACACTGTCTTCCCTTTATCCATCTCCCTGTTCATTTGTATCTATCGTTTCAATAAAACTGTTAAAAGTTTTGGGAAAATTTGAAAAACAGGACTTTGGTTGAGTCAAAAAAATCTCTTGCACTATACTGCGACCTTACATTCCACCAGCTAATAAACTACTCTGTGGAGGTTAATTAAAATACGTGGACTATCCCTTTAACTTCATACCAACCAGATATTGACTTTCCGCATGTCCGCATCTCAAATCCCTAAACTAATGCAAAGTTCAGGCCAACACTTATTAATACAGATCAATATACAGTGTGTCCTTGCACAGTGGTTGTTAATGTAATGCTACACATTCATGTATAACTCTGTATAACCTTCTATAAGTCTATATGATTCATGATTGATCAAATAGACAGTACTACTAATGTTCACAGACACAGGCAGGGCCCCTGAGCTTTCACCCTCAGAGTATTTCAAACTTTGTAAATGACCTCCAAGCTTTTCAAAAACGTACTCCCTCTCTAAGTTTATCAATGTTAATGAAGGCAGTGGAAACTTTGGGATGGTTGGGCTGCTATCTCACGGCACCATGACAGATGACTCCATAGAAGAGAGATAGAGAGAGACAAAGAGAAAGAGAGAGAGAGAGAGAGAGAGTGTGAGAGAGAGAGAGAGAGAGAGAGAGAGAGAGAGAGAGAGGAGAGAGAGAGAGAGAGAGAGAGAGAGAGAGAGAGAGAGAGAGAGAGAGAGAGAGAGAGAGAGAGAGAGAGAGAGAGAGAGAGACTGCCAGGCCGTGCTGCCCGGACATTTTACCGTCAAACTCACTCTCTCCATTCTTCATTAACGTCTCGTCCCTCAAAAGGGGCACTCAAGAATGCATTAAGGACCCCAGTCCTTCTGAGGTGCTATTAGGGAAGCCGTTGAGGCCAAATTAAGCTGTTCATATTCATTCTGTTGTGATTGCAGATCTGACCCGCTGCTAACTGCCGCATGTACACTTTAGACCAGTACAGTCAGAGTAGTCTTTTGTTATGGAATCAGAACACTGCTCTGATGATGCTACTGTAATGGTGTGTGTGTGTGTGTGTGCATGTGTGTGTGTGTGTGTGTGTGTGTGTGTGTGTGTGTGTGTGTGTGTGTGTGTGTGTGTGTGTGTGTGTGTGCTACTGTAATGATGTGTGTGAGTGTGTCGTGTTAGCGTTTCAGTCAAGCACTCACCATTCAGCTTGGGACTGGGTGTCCCTGCCACTGGCTTGATGGGCTTCTCTGAGAGTTTGGACCCGGCTATGAGGATGGGAGACAAAAACAGCATTAGTCACATTATTTCACATCAACTTCCCCATGTGGAACGTATTAATGTGCTTCAGGACCACACATCAAGAGATAATGCAACTAACTCATTGAGGGCGAATCCTGAGTTCTATTCTTAATTCTATTGTGTGGTAATAGCATAGCCATATATTTAGAATTTGTAAATGTATGGCTCTGGGTAATATTCCTAACTGAAACTCATATGGTGTGTTCTGGAATGTAAAAGTCAAGCATGGATTCTTCTGCTAGTTATAGTTAATCAAATCATAGTTTATTTGTCATATGCACGTGATACAGCGATGTGCACACAGTACAATGAAATGCTTACTTACAAGCTCTTCTCTTACGACAATTGCTAATAAAAGGTATACAAAGGTGTACAAAGTAAGAAACACAGAAATAAGCATGCATGTGGTAATGCAGTAGAATGCGTTATGTGGGAGTGGCCCTCTAAAGTTGACAGTGAAGGTAAGTCACAGTGGTGGGGACAGGACTACTGCACAGGGCCACACGACCAGACCATCAAGGACAAGAAACAGAGCCTGCGTCTCCAATGGCACTCTAGTCCTTATTTAGTGCGCTACTTTTGGTCAAAAGTAGCGCGCTATGGGGCCTCCCGAGTAGCGCAGCGGTCTGCTTGAGGCGTCACTACAGACCCAGGTTCGTGTCACAACCGGCCGTGACCGGGAGTCCCATAGGGCGGCGCACAATTGGCCCAGCGTCGTCTGGATTAGGGGAGGGTTTGGCTGGGGGGGCTTAACTTGGCTCACCGCGCTCTAGCGACTCCTTGTGGCGGGCTGGGCGCCTGGAGGCTGACTTTGGTCGTCAGTTGAACGGTGTGTCCTCCGACACATTGGTGGCTTCCGGGTTAAGCGGGCGGGTGTTAAGGAGCGCGGTTTGCCGGGTCATGTTTCGGAGGAAGCATGACTTGACCTTTGCAGTGATGAGACAAGTTCGTAATTGGATCACAATTGGATATCACGAAATTTGGGAGAAAAATAAAATAAGCAGCGCGCTATATAGGGACTAGGGTACCGCGCTAAATAGGGACTAGGGTACCACGCTATATAGGGACTAGGGTACCGCGCTATATAGGGACTAGGGTACCGCGTTATATAGGGACTAGGGTACCGCGCAATATAGGGACTAGGGTACCGCGCTATATAGGGACTAGGGTACCGCGTTATATAGGGACTAGGGTACCGCGTTATATAGGGACTAGGGTACCGCGCTATATAGGGACTAGGGTACCGCGCTATATAGGGACTAGGGTACCGCGTTATATAGGGACTAGGGTACCGCGCTATATAGGGACTAGGGTACCGCGTTATATAGGGACTAGGGTACCGCGCTATATAGGGACTAGGGTACCGCGCTATATAGGGACTAGGGTACCGCGCTATATAGGGACTAGGGTACCGCGCTATATAGGGACTAGGGTACCGCGCTATATAGGGACTAGGGTACCGCGCTATATAGGGACTAGGGTACCGCGCTATATAGGGACTAGGGTACCGCGCTATATAGGGACTAGGGTACCGCGCTATATAGGGACTAGGGTACCGCGCTATATAGGGACTAGGGTTACCGCGCTATATAGGGACTAGGGTACCGCGCTATATAGGGACTAGGGTACCACGCTATATAGGGACTAGGGTACCGCGCTATATAGGGACTAGGGTACTGCGTTATATAGGGACTAGGGTACCGCGCTATATAGGGACTAGGGTACGCGCTATATAGGGACTAGGGTACCACGCTATATAGGGACTAGGGTACCGCGCTATATAGGGACTAGGGTACCACGCTATATAGGGACTAGGGTACCGCGCTATATAGGGGACTAGGGTACCACGCTATATAGGGACTAGGGTACCGCGCTATATAGGGACTAGGGTACCGCGCTATATAGGGACTAGGGTACCGCGCTATATAGGGACTAGGGTACCGCGTTATATAGGGACTAGGGTACCGCGCTATATAGGGACTAGGGTACCGCGTTATATATTGACTAGGGTACCACGCTATATAGGGACTAGGGTACCGCGCTATATAGGGACTAGGGTACCGCGCTATATAGGGACTAGGGTACCACGCTATATAGGGACTAGGGTACCGCGCTATATAGGGACTAGGGTACCGCGTTATATAGGGACTAGGGTACCGCGCTATATAGGGACTAGGGTACCACGCTATATAGGGACTAGGGTACCGCGCTATATAGGGACTAGGGTACCGCGCTATATAGGGACTAGGGTACCGCGCTATATAGGGACTAGGGTACCACGCTATATAGGGACTAGGGTACCACGCTATATAGGGACTAGGGTACCGCGCTATATAGGGACTAGTGTACCGCGCTATATAGGGACTAGGGTACCGCGTTATATAGGGACTAGGGTACCGCACTATATAGGGACTAGGGTACCGCGCTATATAGGGACTAGGGTACCGCGCTATATAGGGACTAGGGTACTGCGCTATATAGGGACTAGGGTACCGCGCTATATAGGGACTAGGGTACCGCGCTATATAGGGACTAGGGTACCGCGCTATATAGGGACAAGGGTACCGCGCTATATAGGGACTAGGGTACCGCGCTATATAGGGACTAGGGTACCGCGCTATATAGGGACTAGGGTACCGCGCTATATAGGGACTACATTGTGACCGCGCTATATAGGGACTAGGCCAGAAGCCTCATCCTGTTTGTTCCAGTGGCATGATAGAACCTAGAATAACACAAGATGCCGCATGCTGCTGTGGTAGCAGAACAGCCTGACACAGTGGGAACTTCTCCCACAGCATTCCATGTCTCTCCCATCTGTTTGTGTTTGTAATTACTCTGGGGCCTGAGGTGCACAGCTGTGCGACGCAGCAGTGCTGAGGAGTGTGTCTGCACGTGTGTGAAGTGTGCTCCGTACTATTGCAGCTACAGTCATGACCTGCGGCACAAGAGAGCCTCTGTCCCATATCAGCATATGCCATGCTACACACGCAAGCACACCACACAAATGGCTAAGGTTAGCATTGGGAGAAAGTTAGGGGGAACTTCACCCTGGAGCCACACAGACACACACAAACAAACACACTGGCCATGTCGTCCTGTACCTCGACAAATGGGCATCTTCCCGGTCCAGGTACCGTCGGACTTGCAGATGCGGTGTTCCGAGCCCCCGGACAGGAAGAAGCCAGTCTGGCATGAGTAGAGGAGGGTGTAGCCAAACCCTGGTAGATCCATCCCCATTACCTCCACATGTGCCGGGTTCTCTGGCTGCTTACACGAGTGGGCTGGGAGGGGGGCAAGACAGGGGGGAGAGAGGGAGAAGGAGAGGGGGGGAAGAGAAGAGAGCGAGTGGGAGAGGTGGGGAAAGAGAGAGAAAGGAGACAGAGAAAAAGAGAAAAAAGTAGGAACAAAGAGAATGAGAGAGACAGAGAGGGCAGAGAGAGAGAGAGAGAGAGAAAGGGCAGATAGAGAGAGGGGGAGAGAGAGAAAGGTAGAGAGAGAGCGCGAGAGAGATGGGGGCAGAGAGACAAAGGAGAGAGAAGGAGAGAAAAAAGGAGGAACAAAGAGAATGAGAGAGAGAGAGGGCAGAGATAGAAAGAGAGAGAGAGGGCAGAGAGAGAGAGGAAGAAAAAATGAAAGAGAGGGCAAAGGATAAAAAATTGAGCTTTTTTCACAGACTGCTATGATTCTTCTCACTATCTGCTCTCATCTGGGGTCACCATCAAAGCTCTATTGAATTATTTTTTTCCTTTTATATTGTTTTGTAGAGTCACTGGCTGGTATCTGTCTTTCTGTCATGACTGTACTTTTTGTCTCCTGCACCTGCAAGTGACTGGATGTGCATACACTACTACTGAACTGATTCACTGGCTACTTAGAACCCCCCCCCCCCCAAACACAATGAACACTCCAAACACAATGCATTATGCACTTTCAAGACATCTGCTATACGACTGGTTACTTTTTCAGGGATGGATGGTTGCATTCTACATAGTCTACAGAGATGGTCCGAAATTTTGTTGAGCAACCCATCGAGGGTGAGACAGACACTGATGTGTTGTGGCAGACTGCACAGAGACAGAGAGAAGTGTGTGTGTGTGTGTGTGTACCTGTCACTGCCCCCCCAACCCATGGAAGATCAAACAGTAGGAGATGCTCAGTCATTCTGCTAAGCCAGTGGACCACTATCATCCATCTTTGATCAAAAGGGACTGGGATTAGGTCTGTGAAGGGAGCAATGCTCAAACTAACCGACCAATGCTCTTTTATCTTTGGGTCTTTTTTGTTTGTGTGTGGAATGCTTGTGTATGTCTGTGTGTGTGCATGTGTGTCCAACACAGGAAGATTGTTAGAGGTTATGGTGACTTATTTTGTGTTCGTTTTCTGAAATTCCAATATCAAAAGGACTATGAACAGTAACTGAATATTACATTACACAGTATGAGTAATCCTAGAAATATTGTACTATATCAATGTCATTTGTGTGACACTGGGTGTTGCCATTTCTTCGCACATGATTTTGAAACAGAAAATCAAACAATTGGCAGAATATAGGCTAATTACAAAAATAGTTCAATGTAGTTATGAGTGGAGATGCTTGGAGTGAATGAACTGCAATCTGTTGGCTTAGATTGGGAGCCATCTGTCAGTGCTCTCTAAGTCAGCCTCGTAACAAACTGGTTTAATGGAGTTCACTCTATTTTCCTATGGCTGGGCAGACAGACGTGCAGTGGAGAGAGAGAGAGAGAGAGAGAGAGAGAGAGAGAGTGCAGCCACCACCACCCACGCTCTTCTTCCATTTGGCTGGAAATTATAGTCGTATTCATAACATTTTCTCATGCTATCCATTCATTTCTACATTGCAGTAGGCCTATACTTACTTAAAGTATATAAATCATATTTTCACACCACTTCCTCATACTACTACTACTACTACTACTACTACTGCTCCTCAGGGCTGTACATTTCTACTACTACTACTACTACAACTCCAACTGCTACTGCTACTACTATTACAACTGCTACTACTCCAACTGCTACTACTACTACTACTACTACTGCTACCACTACCACTACTATTACTACTACTAACTAATACTACTACCCAGTGGCGTAAAGTACTTAAGTAAAAATACTTTTAAATACTACTTAAGTAGTTTTTGGGGGTATCTTTACTTAACTTTACTATTTATATTTTGACAACTACTGCTGCTGCTGCTGCTGCTGCTACTACTACTACTACTACTACTACTACTACTACTACTACTACTACTACTACTACTACTACTACTACTACTACTACTACTACTACTACTACTACTGCTGCTGCTAATCCTACTACTGCTAATCCTACTACTACTACTACTACTACTACTACTACTACTACTACTACTACTACTGCTACTACTGCTACTACTACTACTACTGCTACTACTGCTACTACTGCTACTACTACTACTACTACTACTACTACTACTACTGCTACTACTGCTACTACTACTACTACTGCTGCTATTACTGCTATGTGCTATATTCTTGAAAGTCAGTGATGCTGTCGTTGAAGCTGTGACTGTGTGAGAAACATAACAACAACACACACAGTGACTTGGTTGGTAAAGTCACCCCTGTTCTGCCAACTGGCTTGTCGTACTCCATGCCTACCTTGCTCAGTGAGTCTTTCACAGTCTCAGTCTACTGGTCAGAGACCGAGAACATGGAGGGAAGTGGAGGGGTGGGTGCTTGGCCATGGTGTGACACAGGAGTGAGGTGTGTGTGTACTGTATGTGTGTGTGTGTGTGGTGAAGTGTGGAGAGAGGGAGAACGGCTGTATGGGGAGATAAGACCAGGGCCTGCCTTCCTCTCCTCCCTGGGATAGGTGACACAGAGAGAGAGAGAGAGAGAGAGAGAGAGAGAGACAAAGAGAGAGAGAGAGACCGAAACTGAGAGAGAAAGAGAGAGAGAGAGAGACAGAGAGAGAGACCGATACTGAGAGAGAGAGAGACTGAGAGAAAGGACACCACCACCACCACCATCCCCTCTTTACCCACCATCTCACCCCACCTGACCCAGCCTCACCCTATCCCCATGGAGGTAGCTGAATGGGTAAGACTACCCTGAGGGGGGCTGACTAACGATCTGCATGAAATTGGATCAGTGTGTGGATGGCAGTGTCCGAAATGGCACCCTATCCCCTATATAGTGCACTACTTTTGGTCAGAGCCCAATGGGCCCTAAATTATAGGGTCACACTCTGCCAAGCTTCATAGTCATATTTAATAACTGCCACTGAAAATGAATTAACATTATTTGAAACATAGAGGGTCATTTTCTTAATAGAGGGTAATAGACAGTAGGGGGTGTGACTGGGCGTCATAGAGGGACAGTAGGGGGTGTGACCGGGCGTCATAGAGGGACAGTAGGGGGTGTGACTAGGCATCATAGAGGGACAGTAGGGGGTGTGACTGGGTGTCATAGAGGGACAGTAGGGGGTGTGACTGGGCGTCATAGAGGGACAGTAGGGGGTGTGACTGGGCGTCATTGAGGGACAGTACAGGGTGTGACTGGGCGTCATAGAGGGACAGTAGGGGGTGTGACTGGGCGTCATAGAGGGACAGTAGGGGGTGTGACTGGGTGTCATAGAGGGACAGTAGGGGGTGTGACTGGGTGTCATAGAGGGACAGTAGGGGGTGTGACTGGGCGTCATTGAGGGAGAGTAGGGGGTGTGACTGGGCGTCATAGAGGGACAGTAGGGGGTGTGACTGGGTGTCATAGAGGGACAGTAGAGGGTGTGACTGGGCGTCAAAGAGGGACAGTAGGGGGTGTGACTGTGTGTCATAGAGGGACAGTAGGGGGAGTGACTGTGTGTCATAGAGGGACAGTAGGGGGTGTGACTGGGTGTCATAGAGGGACAGTAGGGGGTGTGACTGGGTGTCATAGAGGGACAGTAGGGGGTGTGACTGGGTGTCATAGAGGGACAGTAGGGGGAGTGACTGGGCGTCATTGAGGGAGAGTAGGGGGTGTGACTGGGCGTCATAGAGGGACAGTAGGGGGTGTGACTGTGTGTCATAGAGGGACAGTAGAGGGTGTGACTGGGCGTCATATAGGGACAGTAGGGGGTGTGAATGGGCGTCACAGAGGGACTGTAGGGGATGAGACTGGGTGTCATTGAGGGACAGTAAGGGGTGTGACTGGGCATCATAGAGGGACAGTAGGGGGTGTGACTGGGCGTCATAGAGACACAGTAGGGGGTGTGACTGGGTGTCATAGAGGGACAGTAGGGGGTGTGACTGGGCGTCATAGAGGGACAGTAGGGGGTGTGACTAGGCGTCATTGAGGGACAGTAAGGGGTGTGACTGGTTGTCATAGGGGGACAGTAGGGGTTGTGACTGGTCGTCATAGAGGGACAGTAGGGGGTGTGACTGGGCGTCACAGAGGGACTGTAGGGGATGAGACTGGGTGTCATTGAGGGACAGTAAGGGGTGTGACTGGGCTTCATAGAGGGACAGTAGGGGGTGTGACTGGGCGTCATAGAGGGACAGTAGGGTGTGTGACTGGGTGTCATAGGGGGACAGTAGGGGGTGTGACTGGGTGTCATAAGGGGACAGTAGGGGGTGTGACTGTGTGTCATAGAGTGACAGTAGGGGGTGTGACCGGGCATCATAGAGGGACAGTAGAGGGTGTGACTGGGCGTCATAGAGGCACAGTAGGGGGTGTGACCGGGCGTCATAGAGGGACAGTAGTGGGTGTGACTGGGCGTCATAGAGGGACAGTAGGGGGTGTGACTAGGCGTCATCGAGAGACAATAGGTGGTGTGACTGGGCGTCATAGAGGGACAATAGGTGGTGTGACTTGGCGTCATAGAGGCACGGTAGGGGGTGTGACCGGGCGTCATAGAGGGACAGTAGGGGGTGTGACTGGGCGTCATAGAGGGACAGTAGGGGGTGTGACTGGGCGTCATAGAGGGACAGTAGGGGGGATGACAGGGCGTCATTGAGGGAGAGTAGGGGGTTTTACCGGGTGTCATTGAGGGACAGTAGGGGGTGTGACTGGGCGTCATAGAGGGACAGTAGGGGGTGTGACTGGGCATCATAGAGGGACAGTAGGGGGTGTGACTGGGCGTCATAGAGGGACAGTAGGTGGTGTGACTGGGCGTCATAGAGGGACAGTAGGGGGTGTGACTGGGCGTCATAGAGGGACAGTAGGGGGTGTGACTGGGCATCATAGAGGGACAGTAGGGGGTGTGACTGGGCATCACAGAGGGACAGTAGGTGGTGTGACTGGGCATCATAGAGGGACAGTAGGTGGTGTGACTGGGCATCATAGAGGGACAGTAGGGGGTGTGACCGGGTGTCATAGAGGGACAGTAGGGGGTGTGACTGGGCATCATAGAGGGACATTAGGTGGTGTGACTGGGCATCATAGAGGGACAGTAGGGGGTGTGACTGGGCATCATAGAGGGACAGTAGGGGGTGTGACCGGGTGTCATAGAGGGACAGTAGGGGGTGTGACCGGGCGTCATAGAGTGACAGTAGTGGGTGTGACTGGGCGTCATAGAGGGACAGTAGGTGGTGTGACTGGGCGTCATAGAGGCACGGTAGGGGATGTGACCGGGCGTCATAGAGGGACAGTAGGGGGTGTGACTGGGCGTCATAGAGGCACGGTAGGGGGTGTGACCGGGCGTCATAGAGGGACAGTAGGGGGTGTGACTGGGCGTCATAGAGGGACAGTAGGGGGTGTGACTGGGCGTCATAGAGGGACAGTAGGGGGGATGACAGGGCGTCATTGAGGGAGAGTAGGGGGTTTTACCGGGTGTCATTGAGGGACAGTAGGGGGTGTGACTGGGCGTCATAGAGGGACAGTAGGGGGTGTGACTAGGCATCATAGAGGGACAGCAGGGGGTGTGACTGGGCGTCATAGAGGGACAGTAGGGGGTGTGACTGGGCATCATAGAGGGACAGTAGGGGGTGTGACTGGGCATCATAGAGGGACAGTAGGTGGTGTGACTGGGCATCATAGAGGGACAGTAGGTGGTGTGACTGGGCATCATAGAGGGACAGTAGGGGGTGTGACCGGGTGTCATAGAGGGACAGTAGGGGGTGTGACTGGGCATCATAGAGGGACAGTAGGTGGTGTGACTGGGCATCATAGAGGGACAGTAGGGGGTGTGACTGGGCGTCATAGAGGGACAGTAGGGGGTGTGACCGGGTGTCATAGAGGGACAGTAGGGGGTGTGACCGGGCATCATAGAGGGACAGTTGGGGGTGTGACCGGGTGTCATTGAGGGACAGTAGGGGGTGTGACTGGGCGTCTTAGAGGGACAGTAAGGGGTGTGACTGGGTGTCATAGAGGGACAGTAGGGGGTGTGACCGGGCGTCATAGAGTGACAGTAGTGGGTGTGACTGGGCGTCATAGAGGGACAGTAGGTGGTGTGACTGGGCGTCATAGAGGCACGGTAGGGGGTGTGACCGGGCGTCATAGAGGGACAGTAGGGGGTGTGACTGGGCGTCATAGAGGGACAGTAGGGGGTGTGACTGGGCGTCATCGAGGGACAGTAGGTGGTGTGACTGGGCGTCATAGAGAGACAGTAGGTGGTGTGACTGGGTGTCATAGAGGGACAGTAGGGGGTGTGACTTGGCGTCATAGAGGGACAGTAGGGGGTGTGACTGGGCGTCATAGAGGGACAGTAGGGGGTGTGACTGGGCATCATAGAGGGACAGTAGGGGGTGTGAATGGGCGTCATAGAGGGACAGTAGGTGGTGTGACTGGGCGTCATAGAGGGACAGTAGGGGGTGTGACTGGGCGTCATAGAGGGACAGTAGGGGGTGTGACTGGGCATCATAGACGGACAGTAGGTGGTGTGACTGGGCATCATAGAGGGACAGTAGGGGGTGTGACCGGGTGTCATAGAGGGACAGTAGGGGGTGTGACTGGGCGTCATAGAGGGACAGTAGGTGGTGGGATGTGACTCACGGATGCACTCTGGCTGGGAGCCGCTCCATGTAAGGTCAGCCTGACACAGCCGGGTGGTGGAACCCTGGAGCAGGTGACCCGGGTGGCACTGGAACGCCACCATGCTGCCCACCTGTGTTGGAGTAGAGAGAGACACACAGCTGAGTGCACCTGCATTTACAATAGGGACAGAACTATAGAAAAACACACACGCATGGGCACACTCACGGACACACACACACATACAATAGGTTAGGATCTACAGTATGTGGTTATAGTACCAATGACATAAAGAGTAGCTCACACTCTTACATTCACATTAATCTCAGATGCTTATAACGATTAAAAAGTCCATTGGGCTTCAAGAGGAATAGGAGTGCTTCCATTCAAAGGCTAGTTTGATATCAATGTTGATTTTGATATCAAACAAAGGCAGTGTGTACTGACGTACACATACATGTCAAATATTGAATCCCTGTGAAAGGTTTTGTTTAAACAGCATACATCAAACCAACACGTTCTTTGTCTGTCTGTCTGCCACAGACTGATCACTGATCACTGATGCCCTTTCACAGAGCGACACATCAGGTAAGCTCTTGTCAGCTCTTTTCAGCCCTCTCAGCCTTCCGCTGCTTTGCTTGCATGTGTGTGTGTGTATGTGCATGCGCGACTCTGTGTGTGTGTGATCATCTCTGTGTGTGTGACATTAAACCAAGTGACAGAGTCAGGGGAGTGAAATATGAAAATGTGTCATGGAATGACACAGTGGCTTCACACATTAATTGATTAACACGTCGTCCCCGGCGCTGGAACATGGTCTGACGAGTAATAGACACAGGGCCTTATCTCTGGAATACAATATCTCCTTCACTCTGCTTCAATATCAGTAGCCAGCAAGGCCTCCTCTCCTTCTCCCTCCCTTACTCCCTCAATCTTTATTTCTCCTCCTCCCTCTCTCTCTCTTATCCCTCCCTCTCTTTCTCCCCCCCCTCTCTCGCTCTCTATTTCTCCCCTCTGTCTCTCTCTTTACCCTCTCAATCTCATCACCCTCTCTCTCTCCCTTACTCCTTTGCCCCATTTTCTCATATCTCTCCCTCCCTCTCTCCCTCCCTCCCTCCCTCCCCCCATTCTGAGGACGAGACAAATGATTAATGGGTGTGAAAAGCCTGATATGTCATTGTTCTCTCTGAAGCCTGGGCATGACTTGACCCCAAACATTACATTAAGGCTTGAATTCTTAATGCCAGTGCATTTGGGCAAGAACCCTCACCTGTCCTCCTCCTCCTACCTCTCTCTCCTCCTCCCTCCTTCTCTCTCCTCCTCCCTCCTCCCTCCCCTCCCTCCCTCCGTCCCCCTCCTCCCTCCGTCCCCTCTCCTCCTCCATCCCTCCCCCCCATCCTCCCTCCGTCCCCCCTCCTCCTCCCTCCCTCACTCCGTCCCCCTCCTCCTCTTCCTCCCTCCCTCCCCTTCCTCCTCTTCCTCCATCCCTCCCCCTCCTCCCTCCTCCTCCTTGTCCCCTGGTGAAAATATTTGTGATGTTAATTCATGCTACAAAAAGAGTTATTTTCCATGTCTTGTCTTAATGAGGAGGAGCTACTGAAATAGCAGGGAGGGATAACTATCCCCCTCTCACCTTCCCTTCTGTCATCTGTGTGTTATTGTTTTTGTGTTGATTTCTACAGTGGAATAGTAACTCTCTGTATGCATCATGTATTTATCCCACCACCGTAACTCTGAACACAGTATAATGCACTAGTGTTTACATGTACGTCTAGAATAGATTGATGATTTGGTACAGTCTGTCCTAGATAGATGTATTCTATCTAATACAATGTGTATGATGCAGTAGCCCCACAGGCGAGAAGTGGAACACTGTGTTGTCTTTGCCTACATTCTGTGCTTTACTTTTATGTAATTTGATATTTGCTAACTTTCTTTTTGATTCACAATTAGAGGCAAGCCATGCAGCAAATGTGTCTCTCTTTTCCCAAACAAATCAATGCGATTTGCTGTACAGTTTTGCCCTGTTTATCGCTCCTAACAACGTAAACACAGCTCTGTTGGTGGGGGAAAGTCGTAGCGTTTTAAGGCTCATTAGGGACATGAAACGGAGGCAGGACTACTCGTGTTCGCAGGTCATGCTGTGTAGACACCCTAGGACTCCAGAACAGTCAGAAACACACACACACACACATACACACACACACACACACACACACACACACACACACACACACACACACACACACACACACACACACACACACACACACACACACACACACACACACACACACACACACACACACAGAGAGACATGCATGCGGGCACACACACACATGGAAGCATGGACGGAAGCATGCACACACACACACACACGCACACAAACACACATAAATAAAACACACAGGAAAATGAAACCTTGTAAACACAGAGTTTCTATTCTCAGCAACAATCCTGTTTTCTGGTTGGCTGTTGATATTTCTAAAACAGTAATGTACAAAACGGTAAGGTGTTTCATAACTTTTTTTGTTCTTTAATTAACATTTCTGCTTCATGTGAAATATCCACAATCACCATCTTTATCACCATGATTGACATAACATCATCATCATTGACATTCATATTGTCACGGTCATTATGGTCTCTGTTCAGACAATACATGCAGAGATCTCAAGTTTAAACAACTCAAATACCAGATGGAATTTGCATATAAGTAATGAACCTATTCATTGCCTCATTTGCATATCATTAGCCAAGGAAAACTTCCCCTTGAGAAAATTACATTATGTAACTTTGTCTGGCCAAAGCATTGTCTCTAAATCAATGTCTTGCCATTCGGCCACGATTTATTGTTTTTTTTACCTATAGTGTTATGGCTTTGTCCAGAAGGTATGAGACTACATGAGCTTGGTGTGTGAATGAGAGACTTGAAGTATTGCAACCACTTTATTTGAAGGGTACCTACTTAAGGACTTCACAACACATTCATATTTCATATAGTACACAGTGCTTAATTTGAGCCGGATCCTGTCGGAACAGGATCCGGCACCTCTCAGATTTGACTTTGTTTGTTCCAGCATCTATTTGGCTGGATCAGGTACCTCTCGCGGCATGATTTATTAATTATTTCACTGTTCGCACTGTAGACATTCTAATAAAAGTGTTAAATCAAGTGGCCTCGTTATTTCTCACGCCCCCCAAAAAGACCATCATGTAAAAGCGCGGTGATCCTTCTGTGTAATCATCCTATCCTGCCACACTGCTTCCAGACTTGCTCTCTTATTTGTACATAGAGGTTATGGGGAGGCCCGGTGTTGTAAGTAACTGATTTTGACACAGGTCTTGGTAGTGGTGGTTAGCTAGTGAAGAGGTCCCTACGTAATCAAGTCCCGTATCATCTTCCTACTAAATTTGAATCGTGGGAAAGCCAAATAAAAAATTTATAAGAAAAGGCAATCGAGTTTGATTACATTTTTCAAGTCCAAAAATCCAGAGAAAGATGGTGAATCGAACCCAGAACGAGCCAGAGAACTGTCATTGCTGCAGGAGAGGAGTGAGGGGCAAACTGTTAGCTAGCAGCAATGCTAATCCCGCCAGTTCAGCATCACCACCGGCACCTCTATTATCTAGTAGGCCTACTAGCGAGTCAGACTCAGCGGGAGAGGGGGAGCTGGGGTGGAGGGGGGCAGTGCATCCACCGACGAAGTGCTCGGAGCAGGTGCAATTTGCAGTTCAAGAACAAGCAAACATATAACCCCTGGCTTGTCATGCAGAATTCAAAGTTGGGCTGTACAACATGCAAAAAGGTAGGGCGCTTGGGTCTAGAAACGACTGGAGGGATTAAACTAGCAAAAGAGTGGGTGGAATGTACAGGAAGTTAACATCCTATGCCTCAGATGAAGAAAAAAAACACAAAAACAAAGAGCCCTCAGAAAAAAGGTTTTTGAACATGCCTGAACCAAGGGGCATTTGGTGGCAGCCAGCCTTGTAGACACGGCTAGAGAGGACACCCAGGTTATAGTTAACACACAAAATGAAAAAATACACTACAGCTAGAGTCTTCAGAACAGCCTTAGGAGGTTAAACGTCACAGCCACAGGCCCGCTCATGGCTTTGAGCAAGAAATGGACTCTCAGGAATTAAATCGACTTGACATGTGGGAGGTTTTGAAAACTAAGGTAGGACTTACTTTATTTTCTTTACAAACTTGTTCTGTACTGTGAATGTAATCTGAATATGTGCTTCATATAATCAAATAGGCAGGATGCCTATATATTCTCATATGTGTGTTCTGCTGTAGCCTACATTGATTTATTTTATTTTAAGTTATATTCCGATATTGTGATATTTGTTCTACTGCTACATTAATGTCTTGAAAATTATATGAAATGTGGGTCTTGTAAGCCCCACAGCTGAGTTTGTATGTATGTATGTATGCATGTATGTATGTATGTATGTATGCATATGGTGGGTGTTCTGCAGTGTCGTCTAAGAATGTTGCTCTACATTGTTGTCTAGAAAATTTGGCTATAAGAAATTCGGACTTGTGTAAGCCCCACAGCTATACTCAAGTATGTAGGCATACTGCAGTGACGTCTAAAATACTTTGAATTAATCAGCACCTTGGAGAGTGCTGTCCGTTTCACCACCATAGATAGTAGGCTACTTGGCTGTTTACTCTGTCTGCTGCGCTGCCACGTTGTGTTTGACACTTTTTTTCTCAATGTTTTTCCGATACGTCAGAGCCCCCGGATAACCCCCTTTCTCGGGCTCACTATGTGTTCCTGGACCTCCCGATTTACAAATTAAGCACTGACAGCACATAACACATTCATAGACAGTACATTACCGAAATATCTTCAGTATGCAATCTGACTGTTATAAGGCCATGAGTTTGAATCAGGTTCATTCTCTCAGGTAAGACCCCCGTATGCGTTCATAAAATACCTTGAAGCCATAGGTTCTGTTCAGAGAACCATAGCGAGGTGTCCCTGGGTTCTCACAGGTAGTACGGGTCGGTTCTGAGAGAAAAAGAGAAAGGAGAACGTTTGTATAACATTATCTTAGAGACCTTTAACTATGGCAGACTTGAGACATACAGGCTGCGTCCCAAATGACACCCTATTCCCTTTATAATGCACTAACTTTGACCAGGGCTCATAGGACTCTGGTCAAAAGTAATGCACTATAGAGGGAATAGGGTGTCATTTGGGACACACATACAGTAACACAGCCACAGGAACAGCTATTGTTCCCATAATGATTCAACATAGCTTACTGCAGTCATACCCAGCCTAAAACAGAGTTGTGTGTCATTGTGTGATTGCGTGTGTGTGCACGTCTGTGTGAGTGCTTATGAAGGTGGTTGAGAAATTAATTTCTATCTGTCTTGAGTGTGTTTCTGTAGGTGCATCAGCAGCAGTGGTAGTGTAACATAACAACCAATTTAATATACTAGGCAGAAGACCCAGTAGGGGGCAGTGTTACTTCAGCGTTGCAGCAGCATCGGGCCCAGCTGTGTGGCTGTGTGGAGGGAAGCAGCATCATTAGGATGTAGAGGACATCCTCGGCCTGACGCATAGACCTGGATTCAATGCAGCCTCAGAAAATGACAGCAGCACACGCCACCACCACTACTGCCTGCCTAGCTAACCCACACAGCAACGTGCCATAGCTAACACTATCGTTTCTGCCTCCTCTCTTCTGTATGAAAACGTAATCATACAGAAAGTCAGTCTGGGAAATGATTGTGCGAACGTAACATAATTAAGTGAAAACAATAGTTTGCACCTATCAAACGAGGCCTGTCTGCACAGAACCTGTTTTGGTTCAATTACATAAATACCGCCTCCCCCTCTCCCCTCCCTCCCTCTCTCCCTTCCCACACTCAGACACACACACTCAGACTCAGTCACACATACAAATAACCCCCTCCCCTCCCTCTCCACTCCACACACTCACAGCAGGAACATCTCATCCCAAGCAATTCTCATCATCCTGAGAGGTCCGTCTTGGAATATATGACATTTCATGAATACTACATATTTATGAAGACAGTATTTGTCCTATAATGTCTGTGCCTCGGTACATTTGTGTTCCATGTTGTGATGTGATAACATTATATGCGACTACTTTGTCAATGCCTTATCATTTACAGTCAAGATGATCTTAAGGTAACTGTATGTCATAAGAATGCCTTTTCAATATGGTAACAGTTAAAGGGGCAATCTGCATTTTGAAACAATAACAAAATGGATTGCCCCTTTAACCATATTTTGATGTGATAAGGACTACATAGCACTGTCATACCAGATGACATAAACAGTCATGACAGCTGATGAACAGCATATGACAACAGAATTGACATAGCCATGTCACAAACAATGTTTAGATCAGCTAGTTAGCTGTTTAAAACTAGTCAAAATATTTCCCTCTATATTTCAGCATATAGACACATCTGTAGGCCAATCAGTCTGATAATTGAAGCTCATTGATTTCAAAGGTCAAATAGGGGGTGCTTATATTTGTCTTGTTTAACCTGTACAGAGTGTGATGTTTTTTGCATATCCCACTCCCCCTGAGACACCCTCGGAGAGTGGGGTCATGGCCAGGGATCAGCCATTATTGACGGCGACCTGGGAGCAATTAGGGTTACGTGCCTTGCTCAAGGGCAGATTGACAGATTTTTTTATCTAGTCGGCTCGGGGATTGGAACTAGCAACCTTCGGTTACTGGCCCAACGGTCTAACCGCTAGACTACCTATCGCCCCATATCAATGATTTATCAGTGTTTACATTTGAGTGTACCATTTCCCAGTTCCTGTGTGGGGCCACATCAATCAATCACACCTATATTATGTGTTCAATGACACACAGGTGAATTAGAGAAGAAATTCAATGTCTTCCAGCGGCCATAAATTACAGCCACCATAATGAGCTATACTGTATTTAAACTCAGGCTACTCTCAATGTTAATTTGTGTAGTACAATACACGGTTACCCAGTACTAAACAGATAACAATTGACTTGTTGCTAATGGTTTTATAATTCAGTGACAAAAGGGGCCTATGACTTGAATATTCATTAGTGAAATAAAGACAATTATCAGTTAGTCATATTGATGTGTGGAGAGTGTCTCCTTTAGGGACCTGGATGAGGTGCTTAATCAGATAAGGATTCAGGAGAAGACTCACAGACACTAGATAGATAATTACAGATATGAAGACAGCAGGTAAGTTAAAGATGCCAGGAAAGGGAGGGCATCAAACATACACTATATGATATGAGTGACAACTAGGGTTGCAACATTCTAGTAACTTTCTAAAAATTCCCAAGTTTTGGAATAGGATGGAATAAGCAGGAAATCCGGGAATACTCCAATTAGCATTTCTAGAAAAACCTGGTAATTGTGGTAAAGTTACCGGAATTTTGCAACCCTAGTGACAACAAAGCCCACGGGCTAGTCTTAAGCCTAGTACTGGTCTAAAAAGCAATTTCAATGGAAGATTTCAACTGAACATACAGATTAAGCCTAGTCCTGGGCTAAAAACCAATTTCAAAGGAAGATTTCAACTGAACATACAGATTAAGTTTAGCCCTGGGCTAAAAGCAATTTCAATGGAATATTTCAACTGAACATACAGATTAAGCCTAGTCCTAGACTTAAAAGGTGTCTGGGAGACTGGCCCTAAATATATCCAGATTGTGTGGTTGGTTCTATAAAAGGCATGTGGATCAATACCCACCATCACACTGTGAGTCATCACAGGGAGTAAGCTGAGTTACTCACTTCAAAGGGATCTGAGATATTTTGAGAAGGGGGTGTGACGTTAAGGGGGAGTGAATGCCTCATTATCTCTCCAACCCCCATTGTCACACCTCTGAGAAGCAGAGGTTACATCCTGTAGGTCTGATATCTGATTGGAGGTTAACTTTACAGTAATACTATTGGTCAACAACTCAGTTTTTGAATCCAAACAATTCAGATGCTTATTTAAGCAATAATACATGAGAGGCCATGTGTTATTCCATTTTTTTTAAGTATTGGGAAAAATTCACTTATATGTGTATTAAAGTAGTAAAAAGTTAAGTATTTGGTCCCATATTCATAGCACACGATGACTACATCAAGCTTGTGATTCTACACATTTGTTGGATGCATTTGCTGTTTGTTTTGGTTGTGTTTCAGATGATTTTGTACCCAATAGAAATGAATGGTAAATAATGTATGGTGTCATTTTGGAGTCACTTTCTCACTCATCATTATTCAAGATCATTATTCACAAGCTTAATGTAGTCATTGCGCGCTATGCATATGGGACCAAATACTTAACTTTTTACTACTTGAATACGCATATAAGTGAATTTTTCCAAATACTTTTGGTCCCCTAAAATGGGGGACTATGTAGAAAAAGTGCTGTAATTTCTAAACGGTTTATCCAATATGGATGAAAATACCCTCAAATTAAAGCTGACAGTCTGCACTTTCACCTCGTAGTCATTGTATCATTTCAAATCCGAAGTGCTGGAGTAAAGAACCAAAACAACCAAAAATGTGTCACTGTCCCAATACTTTTGGAGCTCACTGTACATGCAGAAATACGGATATTAAAACAAACAATTCTGAAAATCACCCTGCAATAGAGCATGCTGGGAAATATGATATATGGCTCTATGTAGAACCCTTCTTGCCTTCCAAAGAACCCTTCTTGCCTTCCAAAGAATCATCAAAGAACCCTTTCTTCCAAAAACAGTTATAAAAAAATTATAGGTAGAACCCTTTTCCTTTCAAAGAACCCTTGTCTTCCAGAAAGGGTTCTTCAGATCAAAAATGGTTCTCTGTAGAACCCTATCCCTCCACATAGAACCCTTTTGGGAAAAAGATTTATACGAATATATGCTACAGCTAGCACTGAAACTAGACAATGGTATCAGCCAGCTCTGAAGGCTAGGGCCAGTAGAATGTCAGTAGTGAGTGCCCCTGATTACATTTACGTAATTTAGCAGACGCTCTTATCCAGAGCTGAGTGCATACATTATTTATTTATTTCAGACTGGCCCCCCATGGGAATCAAACCCACAACCCTGGTGTTGCAAACACCATGCTCTACCAACTGAGCTACATCCCTGCCGGCCATTCCCTCCCCTACCCTGGACGACGCTGGGCCAATTGTGTGCCGCCCCATGGGTCTCCCGGTCGCAGCCGGCTATGACAGAGCCTGGATTCGAACCAGGATCTCTAGTGGCACAGCTAGCACTGCGATGCAGAGACCACTGCGCCACTCGGGTGGCGATGTAACTGAATCCCCCTACAGCCATTCTTACACATTTCATATCTGGGCAGGCTCCATTCTTCTCCTCTGTCAACACACTCTCTTCCCTCGGAGGGCACTAAAAGGAATGACCCTGCCTTTTCTGGAATAAACTTATCAATAAGAGATGTGTGTGGAGGTTAGGGCTGTGTCCCAGATGGCACCCATTATAGTGCACTACTTTGACAAGGGCCCATAGGGCTCTGGTCAAAAGTAGTGCACTATATGGGGAATAATGTGCCATTTGGGACGTAGCCTTGGTATACCTCGGGTGGCCCAGTGTCAGAGGGAGGACATTGATTCCTGTTGTTTGACGTAGTTAAATACTTTACAAGCTGTGCTTTAAGGCACGCAAAGAACGCTAGAAATAGGAAACAGAGATGATGTACTCTCAAGAGGGACAGAAAGGTTAGGAGTGTGTATATACACTGAGCATACAAAACATATTGTGTAAAACAAAAAAAGAAATGGAGTAATGAAGCTTTGGGACCAAGTATCACACAAAGGACAGTTGTACACCCAGTTATATATGCTGTGTGACCCTCACGCTTTGTGGGACACGGGCACACACACACAGACACACACACACAGTAGATGCTTACCTATACAGCGAGGCTGGAATCCGCTCCAGGAGCCATCGGACTGGCACATGCGTGTAGTGGAGCCCACCGGGATATAGGGGGCGCTACAGCTGAACGACACCTCTGACTGGTAGATGAAGCTGCGTCCCTCTCTGGAGCCATAGGAAGGCACACCAGGGTCCCCACAGAACTTGGCTACAACAACAGATCAACAATAGCAGATCAAAATAAACGTTCAAAAAACACACAGGAGCAATGTTACCGGGTTTCCCCCCAGTGCGGTTTTGATTGAACTTTAGCAAGAAGAGAGCGGAAATCAGACCAGATCAAATTAGAAACGTCAAAATACCCACACAAGAGTAAAGTCACTGGGTTTTGCCCCTGTGCGGGTTTTATTTAACTCCTCCTGCCACAGTATCTCTTTGTATCTGCGATCCTGGGAGGCACCATGGGAGAAGAAGATGGAGTCTTACAGACCAGACAGACATGAATAACATCAACCCTCAAAGGGCTCAAAGCGGTCATTGAGTGCTGACCATCTGTGGCTGTCCAGCAAACACTTGGTCTGTCCAGGAAGAATCAATAATAGATGTTGACGTCATGCTTGGCTGATACATTATAAATGTGCCAAGCAAGACTCCCTCTTTTACTGTCTGGGAACTGGGAGGACTACAAACTTGACTTTTTCCTGATGAATAATAGATACACTGTCAAGATATAAAAAAGAGAGAAAGAGGAAGAGAGAGAGAGCAGAGAGAGTAGACAGAGATGTAGAGAGAGAAGAAGAAATAGAAGAAGAGGAAGAAGAAGAGGATAATAAAAATAAGTGTGCTGCCTGCAAGTTTACAAAGTCACAGGCAGCCATACTTTATTTAATTCCCATAGCCGCTGCTGCACATTGCTCCAGTGTTCTGAAGGGCGGGGATGGGGTATTAGAACTACCTTGATGATTTACTGACCTTTTAACATGCTCTCCCCTCCACCCCTCCAGCTCTCCTACCCTCTACACCCTCCTCCCCTCCACCTCTCCAGCCCTCCTACCCTCTACACCCTCCTCCCCTCCACCCCTCCACCCTCCAGCCCTCCTACCCTCTACACCCTCCTCCCCTCCCACCCTCCAGCCCTCCTACCCTCTACAGCCTCCTCCCCTCCACCCCTCCTACCCTCTACACCCTCCTCCCCTTCACCCCTCCAGCCCTCCTACCCTCTACACCCTCCTCCCCTCCACACCTCCACCCCTCCACCCTCCAGCCCTCCTACCCTCTACACCCTCCTCCCCTTCCCCCACTCCAGCCCTCCAGCCCTCCTACCCTCTACACCCTCCTCCCCTCCACCCCTCCAGCCCTCCTACCCTCTACACCCTCCTCCCCTCCACCCCTCCAGCCCTCCTACCCTCTACAACCCTCCTCCCCTCCCACCCTCCAGCCCTCCTACCCTCTACAACCCCTCCTCCCCTCCACCCTCCACCCCTCCAGCCCTCCTACCCTCTACAACCTCCTCCCCTCCAGCCCTCCAGCCCTCCTACCCTCTACAACCCTCCTCCCCTTCATCCCTCCAGCCCTCCTACCCTCTACCACCCTCCTCCCCTCCACCCCTCCACCCCTCCAGCCCTCCTACCCTCTACACCCCTCCTCCCCTTCCCCCCCTCCAGCCCTCCAGCCCTCCTACCCTCTACCACCCTCCTCCCCTCCCGCCCTCCTACCCTCTACACCCTCCTCCCCTCCAGCCCTCCTACCCTCTACACCCTCCTCCCCTTCCCCCCCCTCCAGCCCTCCAGCCCTCCTACCCTCTACACCCTCCTCCCCTTCACCCCCTCCACCCCTCCAGCCCTCCTCCCCTCCACCCCTCCTCCCCTTCACCCACTCTCGTTTGAAGCCCTGTCTGATGACCCACTGGGGCAGGCAGATAAGAACTAATTAATTATGTGTAGATTAATAATGATTATCCCCGCCGTTCTTCACTCTGTCATACGGAGACTGACAGACAGGATGGCAGATGCTGAGAGACAAGTAGGTAAACTAAACATGGAGGCGGGTGGGTGAATTATGATTCCCTGGGTGTCTTTCTGTATAGAAGATTCTCCAGGTGTAGAATTTATGGTTGGGTCCTGTGATGTTCAAATGTGCTTTCTAAGGTCTCTGAGTTATGAACTTATAGGTGAATTATGATTCCCTGGCTTGCTGTATGCTAGAGACAGAATCCTCAATAGGTGTAGGAAAGATGGTTGGATCCTCTGATGTTCAAATATGCCTTCTAATGTTTCTGAGTCGTAAAAAGGCAGTGGAGAGAAAAAAAAACAGTGCCATCTGAGTTAATTCCACTGTATTATTTATAATTACTTCTAACAACGGGACTGAAGCCTTGTCTCAGCAAGACAGAAACTTTTTTAAACAAAGGCTTTTCACAAATCCGCTATTGTAAACGCAGCAGACATTGTAACTTTGGAGCCGAGTTCCAAGGAGATGGCATTGGTTTGAGAAAATCTGCCAAAAATATATAACCTTAGTCTTAGACCACCTAATGTAGAGTGACTTGTTCTCCCTTTAGTTCTGTGAATGTGTGTGTGCATGTGTATGTGATTGTATAAGTGTGGTTGTGTGTGTGTGTTTGTGTGTCCGTGTGTGTCCGTGTGAGTGCGCGTTAGTGTGTGTGTGTGTTTGGACGTTTTGGATTGTGTATTAGGGTGATTGCTGTGTGTGTGTGTGTGTGTGTGTGTGTGTGTGTTTGGATGTTTCGGATTGTGTATTAGGGTGATTGTTGTGTGTGTGTGTGTGTTGGACATTTTGGATTGTGTATTAGGGTGATTGCTGTGTGTGTGTGTTTGTCTTGCTCATACTTTTTGGGATGATTCAGCAGCTGTCCACCTGTCTGTCATTGGGCACAGCTGCTCATCATGGTGGAAGCCTTTCACCTCCTGCCTCCCATCACCTGCCCTTTAATGGAAGGCCTCTGCTTGTCTTTTCAATTCAATTTACCATCTTATCTGCAGTACATCACTGTTCCCCTTCATTTTGGGTCAAATTAAAGCGATGGAGACTCGAGGGGCATTAATGCCCAAACGATCGCGGGTGACTGATGTCCCTACAACAGGGGGAAGATCGTCAGACCAGACCAAGGGCCTTATGAATGGCCGCTTCCTCCTCTAACTCAGCTGTCAATCAACCAACCAATGACACCAAGAACCTTGAGATTTTTTTTTGTTCCTCCACAGTGGAGAGCAAGGTGACAGTGTAGCATTCATTCTGAAGCCATTTGTTTCAACTGCAGTGTCGGATACCAAGATCACCTGCTTGAACTGAAAAACAGAACTATAACCCACAAAAGACACATAACCTTTTTCAGTAGCACTTTAGTATGCAGTGCTGACATAACAGGGTAATAGGGAAATAACAAAAAACAACAGGGAACATGGTTAAAACTTTGAAATAACACCGTAACAACTGGGAAATAACACGGTAACAACAGGGAAATAACACAGTAACAAGAAGGAAATAACACTTTAACAACAGGGAAATAACACGGTAACAGGGAAATATCAAGAAACAAGAGGGAAATAACACAGTAACAACCAGGAAATAACACGGTAACAGGGAAATAACAGGAAACAGGGAAATAAAACTAACAATAAGGAAATAACATGGCAACAACTGAGAAATAACACGGTAACAACAGGAAAATAACAAGAGGGAAATAACACAGTAACAAGAGAGAAATAACACAGTAACAACCAGGAAATAACACGGTAACAGGGAAATAACACGGTAACAATAAGGAAATAATATGGTAACAGGGAAATAACACAGTAATAACAGGGAAATTACAGGAAATTACAGGGAATTAACACGGTAACGACAGGGAATCAACACGGTAATGACAGGGAATTACATGGTAACGACAGCGAAATAACATAGTAATGACAGGGAAATAACACGGTAATAAGATAGAAATAACAAGAAAAAACAGGGAAATAACACAGTAACAGGGAAATATCAAGAAACAAGAGGGAAATAACACGGTAACAGGGAAATAACAGGAAACAACAGGGAAATAAAACTAACAATAAGGAAATAACATGGTAACAGGGAAATAACACAGTACCAACAGGGAAATAACACAGTAATAACAGGGAAATTACAGGAAATTACAGGGAAATAACACAGTAATAACAGGGAAAGAACACGTAACGACAGGGAATTAACATGGTAATGACAGGGCATTAACATGGTAACAACAGCGATATAACATGGTAATGACAGGGAAATAACAGGAAATGACAATGTAACAACACGGTAATAAACTGTTCATAATTTGTATGTATCTGCTTAGAAAAGGTGAAATAACGACAAGGAAATAACACAGTAATAACAGGGAAATTACAGGAAATTACAGGGAAATAACATAGTAACGACAGGGAATTCACACAGTAACGACAGGGAATTAACATGGTAATGACAGGGAAAGAACGTAACAAAAGGTAAATAACAGGAAACAACAGGGAAATAAAACTGTAACAACAGGAAAATAACAAGAAACAAGAGGGAAATAACACAGTAACAAGAGAGAAATAACACAGTAACAACCGGGAAATAACACGGTAATAGGGAAATAACAGGAAACAACAGGGAAATAACACTGTAACAATAAGGAAATAACATGGTAACAGGGAAATAACACGGCACCAACAGGGAAATAACAGTAATAACAGGGAAATAACAGGAAACAACAGGGAAATAACACGGTAACGACAGGGAATTAACACGTAATGACGGAATCAACACGGTAATGACAGGGAATTAACACGGTAATGACAGGGAATTAACATGGTAACAACAGCGAAATAACACGGTAATGACAGGGAAATAACAGGAAATAACAGGAAATGACAATTTAACAACACGGTAATAAACTGTTCATAGTTTATGTATCTGCTTAGAAACGGTGAAATAACGACAAGGAAATAACACGGTAACAAGAGGGAAATAACATGGTAACGACAGGGAATACACACAGTAACAACAGGGAATTAACATGGTAACGACAGGGAAAGAACACGGTAACAAAAGGGAAATAACATAGCAACAACAGGGAAATAACACAGTAACAACAGGGAAATAACATGGTAACAACAGGAAAATAAGAAACAAGAGGGAAATAACACAGTAACAACCCGGAAATAACACGGTAACAGGGAAATAACAGGAAACAACAGGGAAATAACACTGTAACAATAAGGAAATAACATGGTAACAGGGAAATAACACGGCACCAACAGGGAAATAACAGGAAATTACAGGGAAATAACACAGTAACAACAGGGAAATAACACGGTAACGACAGGGAATTAACATGGTAATGACGGAATCAACACGGTAACGACAGGGAATTAACACGGTAATGACAGGAAATTAACATGGTAACAACAGCGAAATAACACGGTAATGACAGGGAAATAACAGGAAATTACAATGTAACAACACTGTAATAAACTGTTCATAGTTTGTATGTATCTGCTGAGAAAAGGTGAAATAACGACAAGGAAATAACACGGTAACGACAGGGAAATAACATGGTAACAACAGGGAATTAACACGGTAACAAAAGGGAAATAACAGGAAACAACATGGAAAGAACACGGTAACAAAAGGGAAATAACAGGAAACAACAGGGAAAGAATATGTAACAACAGGAAAATAACATGGTAACAACATGGAAATAACAAGAAACAAGAGAGAAGTAACACAGAAACAACAGGGAAATAACACGGTAACAACCGGGAAATAACAGGAAACGACAGGGAAATAACACGGTATCAACAGGGAAATAACGTGGTACGACAGAGAAATAACACGGTAACAACAGGGAATTAACACGGTAGCGACAGCGAAATAACAGGAAACGACAAGGTAACAACACAGTAATAAAAGGGAAATAACAGGAAACAACAGGGAAAGAACAAGGTAACAAAAGGGAAATAACAGGAGACAACAGGGAAATAACGCGTTAACAAGAAGGAAATAACGCGTTAACAGGAAAATAACACAGCAACAACAGGGAAATAACAAGAAACGACAGGGAATTAACACGGTAACGATAGGGAATTAACACGGTAACGATAGGGAATTAACACGGTAACGACAGGGAATTAACACGGTAACGATAGGGAATTAACACGGTAACGACAGGGAATTAACACGGTAACGACAGGGAATTAACACGGTAACGACAGGGAATTAACACGGTAACGACAGGGAATTAACACATAACGATAGGGAATTAACACGGTAACGACAGGGAATTAACACGTAACGATAGGGAATTAACACGTAACGACAGGGAATTAACACGGTAACGACAGGGAATTAACACGGTAACGACAGCGAATTAACAGGAAACGACAGGGAATTAACAGGAAACGACTGGGAATTAACAGGAAACGACAGGCAATTAGCAGGAAACGACAAGATAACAACACGGTAATAAACTGTTCATAGTTTGTATGTATCTGCTGAGAAAAGGTGACATAGCCTTGAATACTTACTACATAGTTTGTGCTTATTACCCGCTATTTATAGTTCTTAATAATGTAATGAATAATTATTTCTACATAACAACCAGTAAAAGTCTTCATACTATATCGTTTTGGCACATTTTACATCGTTATTTAGCAGCTATATACTAACTATGAATGGGTTATTACCACGTTTGTACCCTGTTGTTACCGTGTTATTTCCCTGTTGTTTGCTGTTATTTCCCTGTTTTTACCCTGTTATTTCAGCACTGTAATCTAAAGTGCTACCCTTTTTTCTAACCTTTTCTAATAAAGATTAGGCAATTGGTTTTAAAATCAAATCACCACCAAAAGTCACTGACTATCTATGGAGTCATAAAACTATAGATACCGTGGACATATTTTTCAAACTGGAACAAGGAAACAAGTACATGAAGAATGCGACAAAATGTCAATTTCACAGGTACACTGAGTGTTAGTACTACTGCAGAGAGTGTGAAGTTGCATCGATATGCGAAGGAGTGGAAAACAACACGAGAGGGAGAGAGAGAGCGAGAGAGAGAGCGAGAGAGAGAGCGAGAGAGAGAGCGAGAGAGAGCGAGAGAGAGCGAGAGAGAGAGCGAGAGAGAGCAAGAGAGAGAGAGCGAGAGAGAGAGAGCGAGAGAGCGAGAGAGAGAGCGAGAGAGAGCAAGAGAGAGAGAGCGAGAGAGAGCGAGAGAGAGAGCGAGAGAGAGCGAGAGAGAGAGCGAGAGAGAGAGCGAGAGAGAGAGCGAGAGAGAGAGCGAGAGAGAGAGCGAGAGAGAGAGCGAGAGAGAGAGCGAGAGAGAGAGCGAGCGAGAGCGAGAGAGAGCAAGAGAGAGAGAGCGAGAGAGAGAGAGCGAGAGAGAGAGAGAGAGGAGCACAAAACAACAGAAAACAAAAGAACAGGAGAGAAGAGGAGAGGTGCGTGCTACTCACGTAGGCACTGAGGCACCATTCCGTTCCAGGTGCCGTTGCCCACGCAGGTGAGGATGGCAGGGAAGGACAGCTCATACCCGGGGGAGCAGCTGTAGCTCACGCTAGTGCCCCACTCAAAGTCTGTACCCTCCAGGACCCCATTGGAGATGACAGAGGGTGCCGCGCAGGTCACCGCTATGGGGGAGAGGAGAGGGAGAGAGGGGTGAGAAAGAGGGAAGAGGGTGGGTGTAGTTGGAGAGAGGACAGGGGGAGAGAGGATGGAGGACAGAAAGGCACAGGGGAGAGGGAGTTTACTTTCTGAGTAATACTGTAGTTAATGCTGAATTACTCTCTTACTTAACCCTCGTTATCCCTGTAAGGAATATCATTAATCAATTAGGCATGAATCATACTTTACCATTCATGGCATAAAAGCAAACAGCGAACAAACAAGAAACCTTTGGAAAAGGGCCACAGCTGGGCTAACAACTAAAACAACACACATTCTCAACAACAACAACAAAAAAATTAGGCCTAAGGAATATTTGTGGCTTTGCCAAGCATAACCATGTACTATAGTTATATAGTCTCACCCTTAGTGGACATTTAATACCAGCTGTCTAACTGAAACAGAACTAATGTCTTTCTCTCAGAGCACTAGCCTCCGGGTGTCATGATGACTGTATCCCAAATAGCTACGTAGTGCACTATATAGGGAATAGTGTGCCATTTGGGGTGCAGCCAATGACTGTCTAAACAAACATGAAAGTGTTGGGGGGGGGGGGGGGGGGCGACGTCAGGGAGGCAGAGAGAGTCAAAGGGACTGTTTGTTTGTCTGAGAGCTGCCTGGGAGTCTCGTTGCGCCCCAGCCTACGCCACGCTCGAGTGGGTGAGAGGGCTAGGCTGGATGACTCATGTTGCACTCTGTAGAGTGAGTCTCTCTCTCTGGTCTGTTATTCACACTGAGTTCTGCCAAACACTCTCCTCCTCTCACTTAATTAGAGTAACAGCAGATAGGGCTTTCCAGAACACTGTGGGCAGAAATATATTTTCCAGCAGACTGTACGATAAACACACTCCTCTCACCGAATAGCAGTAAGATTTCCAAAATAGTGCACCATGGATACTCCTCTCACTGGATAACAGAAACAGCACTGTAGGTAGGCGTTTGGGCGGAAACATCACTGTAGGTAGGCGTTTGGCAGAAACATCACGAGGGGGATATGCAGAGTTCAGAGAGGGGTAATCCAGGAGAATTAGGATTCTATTTTGAAGGGGGGAAATCTCAGTGTTTGTAGATTAGCGACTATGCTTGGTGGGTGCTGGGCAGGGGTGTCAATTATTATTGACTATATAAACAAACACATTTGTCCAGCTCAATGGAGCTTTTTTATGATTGGCTACTCTTATTGTCATCTCTGTGCTCCGGTAATAAAGGTAATAAACATGTAAAAAATTCCCAAATGTTGTATTAATATTCTGAATTAGTATTGGACATGCTTGGTGGGCCGTCCATTGAGAGCAGACCAGCTTGCCTTGTACTAAGCTAATGAATAATGTGTTTATGCAGTGGTTTCACAGCTGCTGTGACAGCTCCTGCATTTCACAGGTATAGAACACAGATATTCTCACATACTTATACAGTACACGTAAAGACGCACACACACCACACACCGCACTCACACACACACACACACACACACACACACACACACACACACACACACACACACACACACACACACACACACACACACACACACACACACACACACACACACACACACACACACACACACACACACACACACACACAACCTTTTAACATCCATATTCATAGATCCAACTGTGCATCATAAGAATGTACTGCAACAAGATATCACTCTGCAGCTATTACATCTGTATGCACAACACACACTCTCACAGAGCCAAGAGATTAAACTATAACCTGTACAAATGGATGGAGATATCTGTGTTGATTGTAATTTGTCAAAGATAATGGTAATACGAAGCAGCATTTTATGCAAGTTGAGAAAGCTTTTTATGAAGAAGAGAAACCTTTTCTGCCTGGCCTATAGTGTCAACAACAACAATAACAACAAGACAGGATATTACAATAACAAACCAAAGCACAATGCTATCCTGAATTTGAACAGGACATAATGACATCTGGGCTACTGTTGCTCAGGCAACCAGTGTTTGAATGGAACCAGCAGGTGTTTATGTTACTGTGAATAAGCTTTAACAATCTGTATTGAAACTCTGGTTTCAATAGAGAAAAGGGACAATGCCAACCTTGATTAGTTACTCCCTGAGACTGGGCATCATTGAACTATATTCTAAGGTGTAGATACATATATTCCAACACTCAAATTGAAGTAGTAAGAGAAACGAACCAAAGGCTCATAGGGTTCTGGCCAAAAGTAGTACCCTCTAAAGTGAAGTGGGTACAATTTCAGGCATAGCCTGAGTGTCATGGATGTCATGATGCCAGAATGTTATTAAGATATGTTCCACAGAGCATTATGGGTAATGAAGTACATCATGCTACACATGTGTTGCTAGGCCTCACCTTTGCAGGATGCCATGATGCCACTCCAGGTACCGTTGGAGGTGCAGGTGCGTACGGGCGAGCTATCGGCCTCCATGGTGTATCCCGGTGCACACAGGAAGGTGATGTTCTGACCAATAGCAAAGTCCTCTCCATACCTCATCCCATTGGCTGGAACCCCAGGGTCGCCACAATTGATCACTGTGATGGAAAGAAAGAAAGAAAGGAAGGAAGGAAGGAAGGAAGGAAGGAAGGAAGGAAGGAAGGAAGGAAGGAAGGAAGGAAGGAAGGAAGGAAGGAAGGAAGGAAGGAAGGAAGGAAGGAAGGAAGGAAGGAAGGAAGGAAGGAAGGAAGGAAGGAAGGAAGGAAGGAAGGAAGGAAGGGGACAAAAGAGTGACTCAGTGACACAGAGTACTTGGTTGCGGCAAACAAACACATAACAAAGACAACACATACCCAGTCCGACACTTTACTCTGTAACAAACCATTATGTTTTCTGGCTCTTTTGTGCTATAGATGGTGAAATCTATGACGGCTGTCGAAGTGCGATTTAGGCCCCATTGTGGGTCCGGTGTGAGATATGTATTGGGCTGTGAAAACAATTGGCGGGAAACCTAATCCACAAATCATCTGAAATGACCCATTTATGCAGCCAGCAACAGATATCTCCACTGAGGAGATACCACCTCGCCTCTTTTATTCACAATGATAGATCTCACTATCACGGGGGAAAATCAATAGCTGTAAGCAGGGGAAGCTGTGTTCTCATACGGGGGTCTCCTGAGTTTAACTTCCATAATCAATTCTGTCGATCTTTTACAACTATCACTCCCTTCTGTTCTATGGATGAACAAACAGGAGCGGAATATAGGGAGGAAAGCAGAGAGCAGAAAATAGAACGATGCATGTTTACAGAGTCTTTTACCTTTTACCTGGGAATTCAGATGAAAAGGTAAAAGAAACACATTAGTAGTTCTGTGATCCCCGTGGCTGACAACAACAAACCCCAAAAGTACTTTACATATTTATTTTTCATTTTTGAAAAAAGTTTCCCCCTATTGATTTATGTATCAATTCCGGAATCACGTTTGCCATACATTTTGTGTCTTTTGCGGAAAAACGTGTGAATGATGCTTCAGAATCAATCATCGGAGCTAATATGACTCCACCCCCGGATTGCAACCATGCGTCACCCTTCTCAGCCTGCTCAATAAACACATGTAAAGACACATCAATCATTCCTAGTTTAACATGCCACAGGCAAGGAATGCGTCCCAAAATGACACCCTAGTCCCTATATAGCGCACTACTTTTGATCAAAGCCCTAAGACTATATATGAAATAGGGTGCCATTTTGGGACGCAAACCAAGGTCTCTATGAAAGAGAGCAATGTAAAGATAAAAACAGGCCCGGTAAAAAAAAAACGCTGTAGGCAAAGCATTCTGCTAGTTTAAGCATATATGGGCACTAAGAGGCATACGATCAAAGGCAATGAACCTGGCCTGGAGGAACCAGTATGGTCTATATGTCTAGTGGTGATATGGAGACAGACAGACAGGCAGTAGTTCATACAGTGAGGGAAAAAGTTTTTGATCCCCTGCTGATTTTGTACATTTGCCCACTGACAAAGAAATGATCTGTCTATAAATCCAGAAAAACACATGTCAAAAATGTTATCAATTGATTTGCATTTTAATGAGGGAAATAAGTATTTGACCCCTCTGCAAAACATGACTTAGTACTTGGTGGCAAAACCCTTGTTGGCAATCACAGAGGTCAGACGTTTTTTGTAGTTGGCCACCAGGTTTGCACACATCTCAGGAGGCATTTTGTCCCACTCCTCTTTGCAGATCTTCTCCAAGTCATTAAGGTTTCGAGGCTGACGTTTGGCAACTTGAACCTTCAGCTCCCTCCACAGATTTCCTATGGGATTAAGGTCTGGAGACTGGCTAGGCCACTCCAGGACCTTAATGTGCTTCTTCTTGAGCCACTCCTTTGTTGCTTTGGCCGTGTGTTTTGGGACATTGTCATGCTGGAATACCCATCCACGACCCATTTTCAATGCCCTGGCTGAGGGAAGGAGGTTCTCACCCAAGATTTGACGGTACATGGCCCCGTCCATTGTCCCTTTGATGCGGTGAAGTTAGCAGAAAAACACCCCCAAAGCATAATGTTTCCACCTCCATGTTTGACGGTGGGGATGGTGTTCTTGGGGTCATAGGCAGCATTCCTCCTCCTCCAAACACGGCGAGTTGAGTTGATGCCAAAGAGCTCCATTTTGGTCTCATCTGACCACAACACTTTCATCCAGTTCTCCTCTGAATCATTCAGATGTTCATTGGCAAACTTCAGATGGGCATGTATATGTGCTTTCTTGAGCAGGGGGACCTTGCGGGCGCTGCAGGATTTCAGTCCTTCACGGCATAGTGTGTTACCAATTGTTTTCTTGGTGACTATGGTCCCAGCTGCCTTGAGATCATTGACAAGATCCTCCTGTGTAGTTCTGGGCTGATTCCTTACCGTTCTCATGATCATTGCAACTCCACGAGGTGAGATCTTGCATGGAGCCCCAGGCCGAGGGAGATTGACAGTTCTTTTGTGTTTCTTCCATTTGCGAATAATCGCAGCAACTGTTGTCACCTTCTCACCAAGCTGCTTGGCGATGGTCTTGTAGCCCATTCCAGCCTTGTGTAGGTCTACAATCTTGTCCCTGACATCCTTGGAGAGCTCTTTGGTCTTTGCCATGGTGGAGAGTTTGGAATCTGATTGATTGATTGCTTGTGTGGACAGGTGTCTTTTATACAGGTAACAAGCTGTTATTAGGAGCACTCCCTTTAAGAGTGTGCTCCTAATCTCAGTTTGTTACCTGTATAAAAGACACCTGGGAGCCAGAAATCTTTCTGATTGAGAGGGGGTCAAATACTTATTTCCCTCATTAAAAAGCAAATCAATTTATAACATTTTTGACATGCGTTTTTCTGGATTTTTTTGTTGTTATTCTGTCTCTCATTGTTCAAATAAACCTACCATTAAAATTATAGACTGATAAATTATTTGTCAGTGGGCAAACGTACAAAATCAGCAGGGGATCAAATACTATTTTCCCTCACTGTAGATCTGGTAATCCATTTCTGAATTAACTGAATCTGAAACACCAGGAGAGGTAGAGGAATTATCTACCTGAAGTTAGAAGAAGTAAGTGAGGAAGAAGGAGAGAGAGATAGGAGAGAGAGAGAGAGCGGAGGTAGTAGAGAGAGGGCGAGAGAGAGACGAGAGAGAGGGCGAGCGCGTAGGTCGCGATCTCTCGCTCGATCGCTATAATATGAGATATATGGAGCGTAGAGAGATGCGAGCTTAGCTAGTAGTCTCTCTATCTTCTACTCTCTCTCTGGCTTCTACTTCTCCCCTCTCGATTTCTCCACTTTCTCTCCTCTCTTTCTTTCACTCACCTCTCTCTCGCTCTTGCTCTCATTCTCTCGTCTCTCTCTCTCTCTCTGCTCTCGCTCTCTCTCTCGCTCTCTCTCTTGCTCTCTCTCTCTCTCTCTCTCTCTCTCTCTCCCCCCTGAGCCTGGATTTAAATCACATCGACTCCCTGGTGTTGTCTACTCGACGAGGAGGATCTGAAGAAGAGGGAAGAGCTGAGGAGGGTATGGTAATATACACCAGGTAACGGAAACACAGAGGGATTGATTTCCTTATCTTGCTGGAGCAGGGGCACAGGGCTCTTCTGACCTCTCCTCTCTCTCAACCCCCAAGTCACTGTGTGTGTGTGGGTGTCTGTGTGTGACCCCCTCCTCTCTCTGTCTCAATCCCTAACCCACAGGCTACCTTAAAGAGCCTCCCCACTTCGATCCCTCTCTCAGACTCAGCCGCCTGGACAAGTCCAATTAAAACCAGCCCACCCTTCCTAGATGAGAGAAGCAGCATGTTGAAATGTCATGAGGAGAGGATGCAAGATTTTGGTTTCCAAATGACAACCTTTTCCCTATATAGTGTACTACCTTTGACTAGGGTCCATAGGGCTTTGGTGAAAAGTAGTGCACTACATAGGGAATAGGGTGCCATTTGGGATGCAACTCTGTCTTAAGCCTCAGTCCATTAATTTACCCTATCCCCTATCTATGATATGACCTGATCAAAATAGGTAATTGAAGAGAAAAATATATTAAAATTAATGATCACAATCAAACATAGAAATACATCTGTGTACATTTATCTAAGTCATATCTACTGTCTATATATATTGAAATCTCCCAAAAATGATTGTGCCGTTATCAGTAGGATTTTTCACACAGCCCTGTTAATAAGCACACCGGGTAAGTTTTAAGCTTTTTCAAAATGTGTGTACAAAAAAAAGTCCAGTGCCCTTAGTCCTAGAATGTCTCAGGCCTTTCAGTCCATAATGAATAAGATGACATGGACTGGTGCAGGATCTGATCCCAGATCAGCACTCTTACTCTGACATGCTTTATGACACTAAAAAGGGGATAGGTTCCTGATCCCACATAATTGTGCAGTTGGGTGCAGTGAGGTGGGTTTATGAGGACTTACTGGTGCAGTTGGGTGCAGTGAGGTGGGTTTATGAGGACTTACTGGTGCAGTTGGGTGCAGTGAGGTGGGTTTATGAGGACTTACTGGTGCAGTTGGGTGCAGTGAGGTGTGTTTATGAGGACTTACTGGTGCATTTGGGTGCAGAGAGGTGGGTTTATGAGGACTTACTGGTGCAGTTGGGTGCAGTGAGGTGGGTTTATGAGGACTTACTGGTGCAGTTGGGTGCAGTGAGGTGGGTTTATGAGGACTTACTGGTGCAGTTGGGTGCAGAGAGGTGGGTTTATGAGGACTTACTGGTGCAGTTGGGTGCAGTGAGGTGGGTTTATGAGGACTTACTGGTGCAGTTGGGTGCAGTGAGGTAGGTTTATGAGGACTTACTGGTGCAGTTGGGTGCAGTGCCAGACCAAGTGGCATTGGCCAGACACTGGCGGGTGGTGGAGCCAGTCAGCAGGTAGCCGTCCATACAGGAGTAGGTGACCGAGTGAGAGTAGGTGGTGCCGTCCAGCCTGTACACACGGCCGTTACTGGGGCTCCCCGGGTTCCCACACTGCACCGCTGGACAGAGAGGTGAAGATAGAGTTCGATTGAATGATTGGGTTTATGTGATAATTCAAAAATACATGTGAAGTTGTTCCATCACATACTATAAAACCACATTGTGGTTATATACTGTATATTGGTTAGATTTGAGCATCTATGGTATGGAATCGTCTCTGATAAAGACTGTCTATTTTACTGTAAAGTGTTTTTGGTGATTTAAATGCACTTTAAATAAAATGTGAATTGATATGGTCTTATACTGTACGTCAATGCTAAGTACAGTATTTGTTCCTGCCATGAAATAATCACTGCCCCTTTCACTGCTCCTGCATTCAAACCCCATAGCATCCACTCGGTCTAGCTAAATAAGTCATTTTCCTGGAAATATGTACTTAAAAGCTGTTAACAAAAGAGTTGAGAGAAATTACTAGCATCTAGGTAAGAGTGGAATGGTAGGACAACCATTGTTTGAGGGATCCTCGTGGATATGATTTATGCAATGTCCAGAGTGGGATTTCAAGAGCTATGAAAGGAGGCTTAGGGAAATCAACAAGCAATTTGCCATGATTGTGTCCCTGAAACATTTGACCATGCTTCCATATGTGAGGTACTTAGAGAGAATATCAAATAAATCCACATTGCCACTGTCAAAGAACCGTCATTAAGTCATGAGTTAGGGGTTGTGCACTACTATTGAGGGAATAAGGGTGGCGTTGAGGGTGGGTTGGGCTGAGTGAAATGTGAAATGTCACAGAAAAAGGGAGGTATAACAGACTCCAGGATGGAATGAGATAAAAGCTGAGAAGGGCTGAGAGAGAAAGAATGAGAGAGAGAGGCAATGAGAGCGAGAGAGAGCAAGAGAGAGGCAGAGAAATAGAGAGAGCAAAGGAGAGAGGCAGAGAATAGGAAAGAGGAGAAACGATGCGAGAGGCAGAGAGAGAGAGAAAGAGCAGAGAGAGAGAGGGGAAGAAGAAGAGAGGAAGAGAGGAGAGGAGAAGGGAGGAGAGAGAGAGAGGGAGGAGAGGAGGAGAGGAGAGAGGGAGAGAAAAGGAGAAGGAGGGGGGGGGGAGAGGAGAGAGAGAGAGAGGAGAGAAGGCAGAGGAGAGAGAGACAGAGGGGAGAGAGGAGGAGAGAGAGAAGAAGGAAAAGAGAGAGAGGGAGAGAGAGGGAGGAGGAGAAGAGAGAGAGAGAGACGAGTGAGAGGGAGAGCAGGAGAGAGGAGGAGAAAAGAGGAGAGAGAAGTAGAGAAAGAGAGAGAGAGAGAGAGAGAGGAGGAGAGAGAGAGAGAGAGGAGCGAGGAGAGAGGAGAGAAAGAGAGGAGAGAAAGTGGATGAGAGCAGAGAGAGAGAGAGAAAGAAATAACGAGAGAGAAATAAATAAAGAGAGAACAAGAAAGCGAGATTCAGATAGAGAAAGAGAAAAGGGAGTGTGAAAGAGAGAGAGCGTGCAATGGAGAAAGAGAGAGGTACCCAGTCAGCCTTGTGGAGGAACTGGCTGGCAGGGCCTTCAGGGGCTGAGAAGTTAACAATCTGTAAATCTATTTAACTGAAGAGCTGCAGTGGCTCAGAGGGAACATGGAGGACAAGCCGCCGTTTCGAGATGACACTAACGCTATCCTGTCACGTTGGAGAGGAGATGAATATGGTGGTTCAGAGGAGCCTGAGGAGGAAGGAGTGTTCTTCTCTGCAGACAGAGAGAGAGACACACACAAACAACCTCCTTTGTCTTTCTCTGACACCTGGGCATTTGGGGTTGTCTCTGAGTGTTTGACTGTCACCTGCACCATTTGTCTCTGGGTGTCTGACTGTCACCTGGGCCATTTGTCTCTGGGTGTCTGACTGTCACCGGGGCCATTTGTCTCTGGGTGTCTGACTGTCACCTGGGCCATTTGTCTCTGGGTGTCTGACTGTCACCGGGGCCATTTGTCTCTGAGTGTCTGACTGTCACCTGGGCCATTTGTCTCTGGGTGTCTGACTGTCACCGGGGCCATTTGTCTCTGAGTGTCTGACTGTCACTTGGGCCATTTGTCTCTGGGTGTCTGACTGTCACTGGGGCCATTTGTCTCTGGGTGTCTGACTGTCACCGGGGCCATTTGTCTCTGGGTGTCTGACTGTCACCTGGGCCATTTGTCTCTGGGTGTCTGACTGTCATCTGGGCCATTTGTCTCTGGGTGTCTGACTGTCACGTAGAGACACGTTTGAGTACATCTCTTCAATTACAGCTCAGTCCAAGCTCCCTGTTGCCAATTCCCACCTTTCAGAAAGGATTCCTGCACAATGGAAGGGAGTGTTTCTAAAGCAGTGTTTTCACTCAGTGGGAGGTCGGAGGGAGCAGTGGGAGGTCGGAGGGAGCAGTGGGAGGTCGGAGGGAGCAGTAGGAGGTCGGAGGGAGCAGTGGGAGGTCGGAGGGAGCAGTGGGAGGTCGGAGGGAGCAGAGGAGGAGAGGAAAAGGGGATGAGAAAAGCACACCATTAGTTCCGGCTTGGTGCTGGGAAGCAGGATGTTGTAAAGCGGTGTGGAGGGTTGTGTTCCAAATGGCACCCTCTTACCTAAATAGTGCACTTCTTTTGACTGGAGCCCTGTGGGTTCCTGGTAAAAAAAGTTGTGCACCATATAGGGAGTAGGGTGCCATTTGGCATGCAGATGAGGTTTGGGGAGCAGAGCAGAGTGGACAGTTGACTAGCTACATGGTTCCCTCAGCAAACAAAGGGAAGTAATGTTGCTGTGTGCCCCTGGTGTGATGGCTTGTCCCGTCTCATCTTATTCAGTGTGCAATGTGATGCTAGTTATAGGGGCTCCTGCAGTGAGAGGAGGCTCCAGTAGGCTAAAGTGCTGCTGTGGTGTTGAGATGTCGTGGGACACAGACTGCACTGCTACACTGCCACATTCAATTAGCTCTAGGCTGGAGGTGCACAGCCGGAGGTCGCTGGAGGTGGAAGAGGCTGGATAGGGGTCGATAAAGCACAGCTATTGTGTGTTGCTGAGTTTTCTAGCTCTCAGAGATACGCTGGCTGGAAATGGAATGGTACAGCGGCATGTTGGACTCAAAGGACCATAGAGGTTGGGGGGATGGAAAGTGTGTGTGGTCTCACGTTTGCAGAAAGGCTGTGTTCCAGACCAGGTGCCGTTGGGAAAGCACATCCTTTCAGCAGAGCCAATCAGCTCATAACCCTCAGAGCAGCTGAACTGGACTTTACTGCGGATCCTGAAGTCACTCTCCTCTCTGCTGCCCTGCGAAGGGGTGCCTGGGTCCCCACACGTCCCCTGGGAGTCACCTGCACAGGCACACACACACAGAGACAAACACACACACAGAGACAAACACACACACACAGAGACAAACACACACACAGAGACAAACACACACACACAGAGACAAACACACACACACACACACAGAGACAAACACACACACACACAGAGACAAACACACACACACACAGAGACAAACACAGAGACAAACACACACACAAACAGAGACAAACACACACACACACAGAGACAAACAAACACACACACAGAGACAAACACACACACGCCAGCCCGCAGGCACACAAGGAAAAACAAAAGCATAGAAAGAGTTAATAACTTCTGGTGTTTCGTTCACAATCACATGTTCCAAAGGCCATGGAAACAAACCACAACCCTTTTTGTCATTGAAACCAGCGAAGGCACCTGACTCCCCCTCTCTGGCCTTCTTCCCTTTCCCTTTCCCTTCCCTCTGTCACGCTCTGGCTCCGGGACTGTGTATTTTGAGCCAGGGTGTGTTCATTTGGTTGTGTTGTATTTGGTTGTGTTTCATTGTTTGGTCGTGTGACTCCCAATCAGTGGTAACGAGTGTCAGCTGTCGGCTCGTTATCTCTGATTGGGAGCCATATTTAAACTGTCAGTGTTCACCTTAGTGTTGTGGGTTTTTGTTCCTTTACGGTCATTGTAACTGTGGACTTCATGAATCGTTTATTGTTTTGCACTTTAGTATAATAAAGTCATCATGTTCGCTCAACACGCTGCGTATTGGTCTGCTCCTTTTGAAGACGATCGTGACAGAAAAACCCACCAAGATGGGACCAAGCAGCGTGTCCAGGAGCCATCGCCAGGGAGATCCCTCACAGATCTCCTTCGCCTCCTGGACTGGGTCAAGCCGAGTGAGGAAGAGAAGGGCTTGACATTATGGCAGAAGGGCGAGAGGCTGGCGAGGGACATGGAGACCTGGTCCACGGGTAGGAGAGACGCCCCGAAAATTTTTAGGGGGGGGGCTCACGACGTCGGACCAGCGGGAGGCCGCGATAGAGCGGCCCAGTGGGTTGCCGGAGAAGGCCGCCGGGTTACGGGGGCCACTGGTCGAAGAGGGGATGGAGGAAGTAGAGGCACGGCGAGAGGTACTGGCGTGTGTTGCCAGTCCGGTCCGGCCCGTTCCAGATCCCGGTGTAGGACCAGTGGTGTGTGTCCCCAGTACAGTCCGGCCCATCCAAGCTTCCCGCACCAAGCCAGTGGTGTGCGTCGTCAGTCCGGCACGGGCCGTGCCTGCTCTCCGCATCAAGCCTGTGGTGCGTCTCGTCAGCCCGGCTCTGCCCGTTCCTGCTCTCCGCACCAGGTCTGTGGTGCACGTCGCCAGCCCAGTCCGGCCCATTCCTGCCACTCGTACCAAGTCAAGGGTGCGAGTCGTCAGCCGGATTCAGCCCATTCCTGCTACTCGCACCAAGCCAAGGGTGCGAGTCGTCAGCCGGATTCAGCCCATTCCTGCTACTCGCACCAAGCCAAGGGTGCGAGTCGTCAGCCGGATTCAGCCCATTCCTGCTACTCGCACCAAGCCAAGGGTGCGAGTCGTCAGCCGGATTCAGCCCATTCCTGCTACTCGCACCAAGCCAAGGGTGCGAGTCGTCAGCCGGATTCAGCCCATTCCTGCTACTCGCACCAAGCCAGGGATGCGAGTCTTCAGCCTGGTGAGGCCTGTTCCGGCTCCACGCACCATGCAACGGGTGCGTATCGTCTGCCAGGTCCGGTCCATTCCTGCCT